GGAGGGAAGCTTTAAGATTGAAGTGGGGGCTGGAGCGATGGCTCAGTGGTTAAGAGCACTGGCTACTCTTGCAGAGGACCTGAATTCTGTTCCCAGCACCCACATGCTCCCCAGCTCACAACTGTCTGTAACTTCAGTCTCAGGGAATCCAGCGCCCCATTCTGACCTCCTCGGGTATCAGGTACACATGTGGTGTACAGGCATATGTGCAGGCAAAACACCCCTACACATAAATTTTTTTTTTAAAAGTTTAACATTTAAAAAAGGGAACCAGCCCCAGGCTTCCCTGACCAGGACACTCGCTTGTGGCACCTGTTAAAATAGAAATTCAAAGCTCTGTCTCTTCTGGTCTACTCTTTAAGAAGGGATAGACTGAGCCGGGCGGTGGTGGCTCACGCCTTTAATCCCAGCACTCGGGAGGCAGAGCCAGGCGGATCTCTGTGAGTTCGAGGCCAGCCTGGGCTACCAAGTGAGTTCCAGGAAAAAGCGCAAAGCTACACAGAGAAACCCTGTCTCAAAAAACCAAAAAAAAAAAAAAAAAAAAAAAAAGAAGGGATAGACTGATCAGTGGGTGGAAAAATGGGACATCCAGGTTTTAATCAGTGTCTCAGAAGTGTTTTGGGCTAGACAGGTTTGGGAAATCTTGAATTTATCATATGCTTGGTCTGGGTTACCTACAACTCCCGGCAAAATGCCACAAGAGGACCAAGTAATGCTCTGTTGATCTCCGGTAGCCTGCTTTAAAAGGAGACCTTTTCCGTATTAGCGTGCTTAGATGGCCAGCCATGCTCCCAGGGGGCTTGATTTATTAGTCAGTTGAGAATCTGAGCATATCAGGATGCCAAGGGTTCACTCTGGCCATTGCATCCCTGTCCCCGAGAGAGTTCACAGTGCAGGAGGCAGAGCTCTGGCCATCTCAAGTGTCACTTGGGAAATGCTCCAGCAAGGCTAGGAAGTGTGGCCTCCAGTGAAGGTAGGGAGACTTCGGGTGGGTGATGTCAGTCATCAGGGCACTGTTTTTCCTCTAAATCCCTTGTTTCTGAATGCTTCTGTTTAGCTTAGGTTATGTTGTGTAGCACGGGTGTTGTAGACAGGATTGTGTTCCTGCTTTGTTGCCCAGCACGGGTGTTGTAGACTGGATTGTGAACCTGTTAAATCTACATGTTGAAGTCCTCACTCCTGGTGTGGTATGGTAGAGATAGGGTCTTTCAGGTGGTAATTAAGGTTTGTGGAGTCTTAGGGTGGGTCCCTGTAACAAGAGGAGACATCAGGCCAGAGATGATGGCACAAGCCTTTAGTCCCAGCCCTCAGGAGGCAGAGGCAGGTGGATCTTTGTGAGTTTGAGGCCAGTCTGGTCTATAGAGTGAGTTCCAGGACAGGTTCCAAAGCTACACAGAGAAACCCTGTCTCGGGGGATGGAGGGGTGGGGAGGGAGAGAAGACATCAAGGATACATCTGCTCAGAGGAAAGGCCATGTAAGGACACAGCCAGATGTGACCACCTCAAAGTCAAGGAGAAAGGCCCCAGGAGAGGCCAGACTTGGTGACACCTTCATTGTGGACTTCCGGCTTTAGGACTCAGGACAACAAGAAACATATTTCATCTCTGTTGTTGAAGCCACCCCGTCTTTTAATGGAGTGGGGGCAACTGAGCTGATTCGCATAGCTGAGACGCCTCTGGGGACTCTTCACATAAGCTGCAGATGCTGACCTCCCCAGGACTGAACTAGAAGTTAGAGCCAGGAATGCGGTGTGGACTTCTAGAGGCAGCTTTCCCAGGCTTACACCAGGGAGTGCAGCGGCATGTTGACGTCGATGGAGTGGTTTGGGTCCCATCTTTCCTTACCTCTGTATTTAAGGTGTGTCCCGTAGTGACCGACACTGGGGGCACCCCAGATTTAGGGTGAATGAAGTCTTCATGCAGATCTATGTGGCTATGTAGCAGTCTAGTGGGAACCCAACTGGACATGCTTACCTTGCAAGTCAGGGCTTGCCCGTGGCAATGATGTGGGGAAGTTATCCCAACCTCGTGATGGACCACAGGGAGAGCCATTCTGCTCTATGAACCATTCCGTAAAATAGCAACTCCCAACCAGGGACAGCGCTGTCCTCCTGGGGACAGGAGGCAATGTCTGGGACATATTGTCACAACCAGGATAGAAGGTGCCACCGGCATCTAGTAGGTCAAACTAAGGATAAAGCAAAGCATCGTTAACACCGAACAGGCTGGCCCCCACGATGAGGGACTGCCCCCAGGCATCCTTTGGGCTGAAGATAAGAAACTGCAGCAAAACTGGGTGTCTTTGCCTGTGACTCAATTAGGGAAGAGTACTTCTGAATAGGAAAGCCAGGCTAAGTAGGCAGGAAACCGAAGCAGATGTTAAGCTGACTGTCTGCTGACTATTGCACAATGCAAGGAAAACTACTGACATCTGAAGGCAGCCGCGGCGATGGAAGAGATTGAAAAGGAAGCTTGGCACTGGAGGGTCTGTCTACAGAAGTGAAGGGATGGCCGAGGCCCCTCTCCCTGCTGCCAAGCCCATGTGACAGCACCTGGCCCCCCTCAGCATCTCTGGTCCTCTGCCTTCTGAACCAAGTATCCCGGAGCAGCCACAGGGCAGGAAGACGAGGTTGCTGCTGACCAGAAGGGGCTGTACTTGAAGGCTGGAGGACCTCAGAAGAGAAGGGAAGTGACCTCAGAAGGAAGAAAGATGGACACCTGTCCTGAGATGAGAAGGAAGCAAGTGTGTGTGGTGGTGGTAGGAAATAATTTGGTGCAAAGAGCTGGGATCAGAGACTGCAAATGCTTAGGACATGTGTGCCTAGTGGAGTTAGGGTTAGGGGAGAGATGGGAAGGCCTGGAGCCAGCACTGGCTTCTAGAATGACAACAGGGAGGCTCCCCCAGGTGCTTGTAAACCAAAGGATGTTTATTAAGTTTTCTGAGGGACAATTTTCCAGGTTGGAAACAGAGTAAGTAAGCCTCTTTCTGAACCTGAGAGGCTTGCATTTCCTTGGGCTGTTATCTCCCACTTTCTCAGCCAGGCTCCAGCTGTGGGGTTTGCCTGTGAGCAAAGTTAGGAAGCACCGTGAGAGGACCCCACCCCCTTACAGCAGAGAGCATCCACAGCTCAGAGTGGGAGGAAGTGGGGTGCCTTCTACAGAAACGGACTGACTTGTTCGAATGTGAGCCTCTCCCACACCTGGGGGATTGGGACGAAGGATAAGACAGCCATTTACAAAGTAAAAATGGAGCCGGGCGGTGGTGGCGCACGCCTTTAATCCCAGCACTTGGGAGGCAGAGGCAGGTGGATCTTTGTGAGTTCAAGGCCAGCCTGGTCTAGATGAGCGAGATCCAGGAAAGGCGCAAAGCTGCACAGAGAAACCCTGTCTCGAAAAAAACCTAAAAAAAAAAACAAAACAAAACAAAAAAAACAAAGTAAAAATGGAAGACACCCAGGCCATGTGTCACATGAGTTTGAATCTCATGTGACACATCCTCTTAGAAACTGTCCATTTATCTGAAACTCAAGTGTAATGGCTTCCTGGACTTTAGCTGGAAGTGAACCTGGAGAAAGGGGCTAATGCATCATAATGTCTGTCTCTGTGCACAGTCCATCAGTCCTTTGCAGTCTGACAGTCCATCAGTCCTGTGCAGCCTGTTCTATTTTATGGTCTGCCTTCCGTCGTAGACCATGGTACAAGGTTTTCCTTTTTCTAGCAGAACAGCTGGGAACCCAGAAATCCGCGCAAGGGCTGGTGGGTTTCCTGGGAGCAGTGGGGCAGTGAGATCACTGGGCATCCTTTGGAGTCCCTGAGCATGTTGGAAGATAAGGAAGCAGCCTTATTGGCTGGAGGAGTTGGATGAGCTCAGAAGCTGGGAGGAGAGGGCTGAGAATGGACAAGAGGCAAAGCGAGAGTAAGGCAGGCAAGCAGGTTGGTGGGAGAGGGTCCAGGTCGTGTCTGGAGGGGCAGGTGGCAAAGGGCAAGCTCAGTCTTGCTCAGTTGTATGGCCTTCTCACACAAAGCCTTGTACATTCTTCCCAGGGTCTAAGCAGTCAGGATCAGGGTTGACTGTGACCGTATTTAATTTGCCTTCTTTGTTTCCTGCCTTGCTCCTGTCTGACTTCATCCACATCAGCCTCAACATTATTTTTAGAACACCCCAAGGGTACTCTTACCCCAGGGCCTTTGCACACAGAGCCCTTTCTGTCTAAGGTGCTTTCTGTTTGTTTTGTGAACTTCCGGGTGAGGTTACAAACAAACCTGATAGGACATGAATGACAGACTGAAGTAGCAATCCCCTAGAGTCAGTCCAGCTTGGCCTTACTTACAGAGTGTGGGTAACCCCCAAACAGCCACACCACAGAAAGTCACTTCGGCATGGACGACAGTTTCTCCAGAGCTACAAAGATAGAGTCCTCCCTTCAGTTGGCACTCCACGCTCTACAAAGAGACCATACCCAGCTTGGGTATGTGTAGGAAGTAGTGATGGGACGCTCAGGGGAGGGTCATTAGACCCTCCCCAACTCCTTCTTCATGAGGGACTTGTCATCAGACCTGATCTTGAGAGTCCCTTGCAAGTAAGCAGTCACCGGATGCTTTGGTAGGATGATGCCTTGGTGGCGATGGCAGTGGCCCACAGGCCAAGAGGACAGTGCTCTACAGCCAGACTTTATCTCTTTCCTGATTGTTGCTCAGATTCTCAGCATGACCCCTGGTCAAGGTCAAGCACTTAGTAAACTGCTTTGGAATGAATGAACCATGGGGCTTTTCCTTCATCAGCTACCTGGCTCTCGTTATACAGATGAGGGCACTGAGGGAAACCTGCCCAGGGTCTGGAGCCAATGATGCTATGAAACCAGGATTTGTTGCCCATACAGACAGGGGTGCCCCGTCTTTGGAGTTTATCAACCTCTGCAGAGTGGGGATCTGGCACAGAATGAGAAGTGTTCTCAAGTGTCCCATGCCTTTAGGTGACATCTTTGTCTCCTTTCCCTCAGGATGCAGTTCTGAGCCGGTTGTGGTTCCCGATGGCCCTCGCAGCGACTCCGTGGAAGGAAGCCCTTTCCGCCCTTCACACTCCTCCTCGGCGGTGTTCGACGAAGACAAGCCCATAGCCAGCAGTGGGGCGTACAACCTGGACTTTGACAGCATCGAGCTGGTGGACAACTTTCAGAGCTTGGAGCCATGCTCTGCCGACTCCAAGGGCCAGGAGTGTAAGGTGAGCACGCGGAGGAAATCCACCGAGTCCGTGCCCCCTTCCAAGTCCACGCTGTCCCGCTCGCTCAGCCTGCAAGCCGGCGACTTTGACGGTGCTTCCTGCCCGGGCAGCCCCGAAGCGGGGACCCTTGCCGCAGATGCGTGTGGCACAGGATCTAACAGTGCCTCCAGCACCCTTAAGCGAACTAAAAAAACACGGCCGCCTTCCTTAAAAAAGAAACAGGCCACCAAGAAACCCACCGAGACCCCTCCAGTGAAGGAGACCCAGCAGGAGCCAGACGAAGAGAGTCCAGTCCCCACCGAGGAACACCTTGCGCCAGAGACAAAGACGGAGTCGGTCACACCTGAGGGCACTGGGGGCACCTTGTCAGAGGAGACGCCCCTGGAGCCCGCCGCTCTGCCCACAGCCGCCTGTCCTTTGACTTTGGAGAGTGAGGAAGACGTCAGCCCTCTGGTTTCTGGAGGTGGCCGAGTGCAGAACTCACCCCCTGTGGGGAGGAAATCAGTGCCTCTTACCACAGCCCCTGAGGCAGTGGAGGTGACCCTATCGGATAGTGGGGGGCAGGAGGACTTGCCTGCCAAAGGGCTCTCCGTGAGGCTGGAGTTTGACTATTCTGAGGACAAGGGTAACTGGGACAGTCAGCAGGAAAACGCCCCTCCCACCAAAAAGATAGGCAAGAAGCCAGTTGCCAAAATGCCCCTAAGGAGGCCAAAGATGAAAAAGACACCCGAGAAGCTCGACAACACCCCTGCCTCACCTCCAAGGTCCCCTACCGAACCCAATGACATCCCTATTGCTAAAGGTACCTACACCTTTGATATAGACAAGTGGGATGACCCCAATTTTAACCCTTTTTCCTCCACCTCAAAAATGCAAGAGTCTCCCAAACTGCCCCAACAGTCGTACAACTTTGACCCCGATGCCTGTGAAGAGTCCCTTGACCCCTTTAAGACATCCTCTAAGACCCCCAGCTCACCTTCCAAATCCCCAGCCTCTTTTGAGATCCCAGCCAGCACCGTCGAAGTGGACGGGGATGGGTTGAATAAGCCCGCCAAGAAGAAGAAGACCCCCCTGAAGACGTAAGTTCAAGGAGGGAGGTGGTGAGGATTCAGAGCGGGTGTGCGTTGCTGTGAGTTCCAGTCCTGCCTGCTGTGCCTGGGGAGTCCCCGGCTGCCCTCGTCCTGCCCCCCTTCCCCTCCCCCTCCCCCGTGGCTGTCATGACACCGTTTTTTGTGTCTGTTTTCTCCAAGCAGGCAGGACACACGTTTCCTTTCTTTGTGCAACCTCCGTGCTATCATCCCCTCATCCCCGAACCCACAAAGTCCTTGATCTTTTGCCTTAATTAATCGGTGGCTTGAAGTTTTATGTTTAGCCATTGATGACCTCTCAACTCCTGGGGACGATGGGAAGTTCTGTAGAAAAGGAGCAGACCTGGCTACCTTCCTGTTGGTGGCTGAACTCTTCCCTGGTTAGCATATGCATTGCCTTTGGATTAGCTGAGACATACACCCTGCAAAATACCGTTAAGTGTACAGCATTTGTTCCTACCTGCTAATAGGACTTTCACTCAGGGGCCACATAGGGTAGCAGGCTGCAGGAGGCCCCAGATGGAGAGAGCTGCTGCATGCCCTCCGACGAGTGTGCCCTCCGACGAGTGTGCAAGAAACAGGCTCTTTCTTGCCTTCCCACTCTCTGGTCATCTTTTTCAAATAAGACTTGAAAGTCTCCGTAAGACCTGAGGAGATTTGCAGGACCTGGACGGGGGAAGCAAACCCTCCAGTCCCTAGGAAGAGTGGCTTTTGTCCACACACACGTGCCAGTGGTTCCCCCTGGCTGCTTGGTGTTGGTGCCCTTGGCACTCATCCTGAGAAGCCCAACTTTGTCCGCTAGAGGTCCATTCCTCAGGACCTGTAACCTGAGGACCATGTGCCCAGTTGCTACAGACGTCCTGGCTCTCTTGGGAAGCATCACTGTAATTTAATGAGGTGGAGAACACTCAGCCTCCCATCCCAGGGCCGTGGAACAAGCCCCAATGTTGGCCTCTCTGGGTCTGGCTTGAATAACACAGGGTGACCCATCTGCATCGGGTATCTGAGAATAACTCAGGTTCTGCTTTGTGGGTTGCTCTATCACCATCTTACAGTAGCTGAAGGCCATTCCAACTCCAAACATGGACTTCTTTTAGTTCTGTTCCCCAACCAGGCCCTTCTTAGAGATACTATAAGATCCCTATTAGAACCTTATTTTTAAAAAAAAAAAAAATTTAACTTTTATATCGATTCTTTTTCATACAGCATATTCTGATCACGGGTTCCCTTCCCCCAACTCCCACTTACCCAAATCCACATAGAACTTGAAAGTGGAATAATAACCAGGCGGTGGTGGCGCTTGCCTTTAATCCCAGCACTTGGGAGGCAGAGGCAGGCAGATCTCTAAGTTTGAGGCCAGCCTGGACTACAGAGTGAGTTCCAGGACAGCCAGGGCTACACAGAGAAATCCTGTCTCAGAAAACAAACAAACAAACAAAAAACCCAAACAAATAAAAAAGTGGAATAATACCCAGAAATGCTTACACTTCAAAGCCGTAACTTCTCATCTTTAGAAAGAGAGTCATCTGTCAGCCACCCCCTTCTTCTGACCCCAAATTGTATTTTCCCCAGTTGCTTTCTCCTTTGCTCATCAGAGCTAAGAAGGTTGGGGAAGCTGCCCCTGTGTCCTGGCGTCACCCTTAGTACACGTGGGTCTGCTGGTTTGGAAGACTATTGTGTGGAGGCAGAGCTCTTAGGTACCAACCCTCCAGCTGGTCAGAACCTGGAGAGGAAGCTGTGTGCCAACAACCCCTTCCCAGAAGGCTGGACTGTGTACCCTGGAGCAGAATCCGCTATGGATGGCTGCCACATCCTAAGCCACTAGTGCCCGGTGTCTGCAGATTTATCTTTGTGTCAGTTCCTTCTGTCTGTCTCTCTTCTTTGTCTTCTTGTCTTAGGATGGTTGAAGATGTGATGTCTGTGTGTTCTCTGTTGTAAGTAAATTTAATGCAGTCTGCTTCTTGCACCTCCTGTGTGGGGCTTCCGCCTTGTTTCCGCTTGCGGCCCCTCTCCTTTCGTCTCTGTGGTGGCCGCTGTGTTTCTGCGTAGAGCTTGGGAATGATGATGGGTCGGGGCTCCCCTGCCGCCAAGGTTACTTTTCTGTTTCACCGTGATTAGCATGAGACCTGCTGAGCTGTGCAAACGTGATTAGCCAACAGCTACCTGCCTGTCCGCAGTGGAACCCTTCCCCTGCTTGTTTGTTTGTTTGTTTTTTTCTTGGTGGGGGTGGGGTGCGTATCTTCATCTGAAATCCATATATTGGTTTTTAACTCCTCATTCCATTCCTTTGTTGTAAGTTGGGCTGGCGGGTGATTGCTTTCACTAGCAGGATGCTTTGTATTAAGCACTGCAGGAAGCCTGGGGCAGAGACTGCCCTGGCTGTTTTTTGTTACATTATGAGGCATTACCATTTGGGCTCTTCCAAATTCATGCTTGCAGAAATCTGAGGGAATGTGGGATCAGCTCAGCATGGAACCCATGGCTGAGAACCACTGCCAGAGTGCCTTGGGTCATGTTCTTGGCTACTTATGTCTAGACTGGATATTAACATGTCTCATCTATGGGTAGCCCCACCAGGCACCAATGCAACTGGCCACCTGTGTGCCTCTAGTACACCATACCCTAGCCAGGGCAGAGCTCAGGGCTCTCGATCTATGTTCCTTTCAACCTTCCCTTACAGGGGAAGCTGACCTGGACCCAGGCTTCTGGCAGCTTCCAGGGTAGCATGGAGTCTCCCAATTCTGTCCTACCCAAGCAGCTGCTTTTTAGTATTTTCAAGTCATCTAGCACCTATAAAAGTTATATATTTATATGCATGAATAAATATATGCCTTAGGTTGGGACTGGACTGTTTTTATGGCAAATGCCATAAATGCTGTAAATAACCATTTACAGTATTTTCTTATGATCAAATGCCATTGTTGGAGTGTTTTATTTGAGAGTACACAAGGAAGGAACTTGGGTACCGAATTTCTCTACTACTTAGTTAACGTGGGAAACGGAGGAGAGTGATAGGACTTTAATTGAGGGACCCTGCCTCCTCCATACCTGAGCTCTAGCCTTGCCTGGTCCTAAAACCATGCTGGGGAGAGCTGGAACCAGGAGAAAAGGGCCAGTTGTAGGTTGAGGGTGTTCATTTTTAATTATAGAAATGACTCCCAGAGCATGGTGGCTCATGAACCGAATATTACTACTTGTGCCCAAACCATTCCCTTTCTCCTGGGGTCGGTCTGCCCCACCTCTGTTACCTTGTATGAAGGAAAAAGAAAGGGAGAAAAGAGTATGGAATCATGTGCACAGCCAGGGAAAGGCATAAGACACAATCTTCCTCGACTCTGCCTTTAGTCAGAATCCTACCCAGAGTCTCTCAGAGCAGAAGAACCCATTGCTCTCTGTGTTCCTGTGAGTACAAAGGGCTCCCCGGGTCCCCACAGGATCCAGAACTTTTCTGTTTCTGCGCAGGCTCCTCTGGCTATTCATTAAGAGCTGTGTCTCCTTGCCCATGTGAAAATTGGATCCTGTTAATTAGTGCCATGAGCCTGCGGCCCCTCCCCCAACCTTAGTTGGCTCAGAAATTAGTCTCCTCACCACAGGTTTGCTGTATAATAGTAAGAACAGTTTGTTAAATTTAGCTGCATCTTTCTGGGTCGGTTCTCCAAAATGGCTTCTCTGTAAAGGTTTCCAGCTTGATGGATCTTCCCCTTGGGGGCAAAAATATTATCAGTTAAAAAGTCAGAATGAACTGTTGGGTAGGCGGGAGGCTGGGTGGTTGCCAGGTGTTTGGGAATGACCTGTGACCCTGTGTTGCTTACCTTTCCCATTTTATTTACAGTGACACATTTAGGGTGAAGAAGTCACCAAAGAGGTCTCCTCTGTCTGATCCACCTTCTCAGGTACAGCACTCCCTTGATCCCTTGAGCATTATTACATTGCTAATCGGGGAGTTAATGCTCCTTTGTCTGTACACACACACACACACACACACACACACACACACACACACACACCCCATTCATGCACTTGTGTAACACACACATGCATATACACACTACTGCACATGTGCACATACACTGTGCACACATGCATACATGCACACCAAAAAACAGGGAGAGCAGAGTTTTCCTTTTTTCTCTTTACGGCGTGGAGTGTTTTAACCACCCCCTCAGTTTGGTGGAGATCAAGGTGTGTTCTGTGAGGAATTAGTTGAGAATAAGGGCAAGATTTTATAGTGGGAATTCTTCTAGTCTCTTCTGGCCATTTAATCTTCTGAGAACTTGCATCAAGTTGAGAGGGTCTTTTGAAATCAATGGACACAGAGTGAGAAAATGAGGAGGTGGGGGGGGGGGCGGAAACTTGACTATCAGGAATAACAAATTACGCCATCAGAGTTAGAGTGGGAAGATGAGGGACGCTTACCCTCAAGAAGCTTGGGGCTAGAGAGAAAGTTTAGTGATTAAAAGTACTCACTGCTCTTGCTGAGGATCAAAGTTCACTTCCCAGCACCCACATGGTGGTTGGTTCACAATTGTCAGTACAAGGGTTCTACCACCCTCTTCTGGCCTCTGTGGGTACTGCATGCACATGATGCACATAACGTACACACAGGCAAAACACTTATACACATAAAATAAATCTTTAGGAAAAAAAAGTGGGGACTTGAATTTGTTATGAGTCTCTTTCCCTCTTAGTGGTGTTTCTAACAAGCTCATTTCTTCCACCTTCCTCATAGACCAAGGAAGGTAATCCTCAGGCAGGCTTGCTACCATTCTGGGTTATAAGACAAGGTGATCTTCAAATCAAAACCAACTTCAATTGCTGACCATTGGGCAGTGAAAGAACATACCAGGACCTCGGCTCCAGGGATAGGAGAATTGAGGTCCAGCTGTAGCTCTCCCCTGGGTTCTCACTATACAGTGGTGGTAAAACCCCCTTTTCTTCATCAGGACCTGTGTGAGGACTCTTAGACAGTGCTGATGATCCGACTGTAAAAGTAGCTGGAATCTCTCAGATAACCAAGACAGAGATGTAGTTATTGTTTTGTTTTGAGACAGGGTCTCACACTAGCTCATGTTGGCCTGGTACTTACTGCATAGCCCAGGCTAGCCTCAGTCTCTTGAGTGTTGGGATCTCAGGGATGAACCATCATACTGAGGCTTTTTGTTGTTGTTTTCAGTGCTGGGTATTGAACCCAGGACTGTGCACGTGCAAGGCAAGCACCAGGCCATGGAGCCACATCCCCAGTCCTTGAAGAAAGGGTCTTACACCATAGCCCAGTCTGGCCTCACACTCCCAGCAGTTCTCCTGCCTCAGCCTCTCAAATGCTAGGATTACAGGGAGGAGTTACTGTGTTCAGGGTTGTTGATTTTTTTGTTTTTGTTTTTTTTTTTATTAACTAATTAATTTTGATAAACCCATGGTCACTCCCTGAAATCAACCATCAGTAAAGTTTCCTCCAGGGGCACTGTGGATCAGAGTCCCAGAGGAGCAGATGGAGGGGTTTCCTTGGTTTGAGGGGCACGGATTCTGAGACTGGGTGAAAGAAGAGGCTGTCTCCTCTCCTCACAGGATTCCACTCCAGCTGCCACGCCGGAAGCACCCCCAGCAATCTCTGCAGTGGTCCATGCCACAGATGAGGAGAAGCTGGCCGTCACCAGCCAGAAGTGGACGTGTATGACAGTGGACTTGGATGCTGACAAACAGGACTTCCCACAGCCCTCGGACCTGTCTAACTTTGTAAATGAGACCAAATTCAATTCGCCCTCAGAGGGTAAGCAACTCGGTGGCCAGCCAGACCCACACCTTGCCTTGGAGAATACTGTCGCTAGGGGGCAAAGAGCCAGGAAAGATACTTGCCAGCCAGGTAACCATTACCCATGTGACAATCTGCACACCTCCCCCTGAATGCAAATCTAAGGCTTGAGAGCAACTGTCCCCTGGCCACATGATGCCTGCTGAGAACCATACTGGCCCCTCTAACCCAGATTCTGAATCCTCACTTGCCTGTCCTTGGCTGTATGGCTTATGATACCTTCTGTAGTTTTGAAAGGCACAGTGCCAAAGGAACATCGGTCACACTGAACTTTGTAAGTCAACTCACCCATGGGTCTTTTGGTGCCATTCTTGTTCATAGCCCTCACAGATTGGTCATACAGTATGGCCACAGATTTTTTGTTTGTTTGTTTGTTTTACAATTTATTTATTTATTATGTGTACAGTGTTATGCCTGCATGTATGCCTGCAGGCCAGAAGAGGGCACCAGGTCTCATTACAGATGGTTGTGAGCCACCGTGTGGTTGCTAGGAATTGAACTCAGGACCTCTGGAAGAGCAGCCAGTGTTCTTAACCTCTGAGCCATCTCTCCAGGCCCATGGCCACAGATTTTAATGAGGCCTGGAGGCAGACGGTTTCCCCAGGTTTGCTAATGAGAACTTGGTGGGTTTGGGAAGATCCCAAGCACTTGTCTTAGCTCAGTGTCTTCCTTGTGCTGTGTTTTCAGTCTCTGCTTCCTCTCTGATTGTTTGGCGTGAATAATTCATGTATCTTAGGGCTGGGGTGTGCTCGGTTGGTAGAGTGCCTGCATGAAGCCCTGGGTGCCTCCCCACCGCGTAGATCCTAGGTGTAGTGGCGCACACCTGTCCTCCCAGCAGTCTGGAAGGTAGAGACAGGAGAACCAGACGTTCCCTCTCCCTCCCCCACCTTTGCCTGTCTCAGCCTTTGCCTGGATATCCCCTCTTTTCCCTGCTTGCCTGTAATGCTTCATCTGGGGCTCCTAACACCGTGAGGAAGACGTGTGTGCATTTCTTGTTCGTTACTGGGGAGTTTGTTTACTGAAGGCCACAACCCACATTCATACATGTGAATATTCATATACACATGCAGAGAGAGAGAGAGAGAGAGAGCGCATGCACTGTGGTGTGCACACACCCACATTCTTACAGAGAGAGAGAGAGAGAGAGAGAGAGAGAGAGAGAGAGAGAGAGAGAGAGAGAGTTCAGAATATAGGCATACATTTAACTTTAAAACAAAACCTGTGAAATCTGCTTCCTTAGAAAATAGCAGTAAAGATTTGGCAAGCGACGGATCAGTTTAGCCATTGGGTGGTAGAGAATGCCGACGTGAAGACACCATGGCTGTAGGAGGCATTGGCCCCGCTGTAACCACCCTGGACAGAGAAGCCTCTCATCAGGTCTTCCCTCCTGTTCTTTCAGTAAGGACACGTTCAGCACATCAGACATCTGGGAGTGCTGATGTGACCCTGGAACGAATCAGTCCAGGGCTGCAGCTGCGGTCTGAGACTTCGTCTTATGGAAGCCACCAACCACAGGAAAGGGAAATGTTGGGCTAGCCTTCGTAATTACTATTTGAGCACACATGTGCAGCGATGGTAATTCCATAGGAGGGAGGAGGGAAGCAGGGACTGTCATTTTGCACACAGGGCTTTATTTCCTCTGAGCTCTGTGGTGGATCCTGTAGCCCCCACCTGAAGATTGAGGAAACATAGTCTGTGCACTGAGAAGGCCTGAGGTGATTTGTGCAGGGCAGACCTGCCTGGTTTCATAGTTCTGTGCTACTGTGGTGAGAATAGACGGGGCCCCCTGCCCTCATTTGTAGGATGAGGGTGTGAGCTAGTCCTGTTCCTTCCTACCTGGGTGCACGAGTAGCGCTGAAGAGCTTCAGGTTGTCTTTGCTGTTTCAAAACCCCAGAGGACCATAGGTTAGCAGTTACCCATGGAGTTGGACTGTCCTGTTTGCCTTGGATACCACCTTGACTGTGTGGCCTCCATCACCTCCCAGTGATTACACACTCTGCTTGAATTATGAGCGTGCTCATCTGTTTAATGAATGCCCTTCTCTTCTGTACCTGAGAATGTTAGGCAGCCTGTCTCTGGGACCTCACCTGCCCAGGAGACCCTGATAGCAACTGTTTTTATTTTATTTTATTTTTGATTTATTTATTTTTATTCATGTGTGAGTGTGTGCTTAGGTGAGTTTATGTGCATCATGTGTTTACGGTGCCCATGGAGTCTAGAGGACATTGGATCCAAAGAGCTGGAGTTACAGGTGGTGGTGAGCTGTCCAATGTGGGTGCTGGGAACTGAATCCTATCCTCTGGGAGAGCAGTGCATATTCTTAACCACTGAGCCATCTCTACAGCCCTGAGCAGTTGCTTTTAGACCCACAAATCTTCATAGCTACTTGGTGGCCCCACCTCCCTATACACAACTATATTACCCCCTCTTCCCACATCCAGCAGAGGGCAAGTTGTCCATCTGGGTAGTCACCATGGTTGTCTTATGACAGAGACTGAGAAGGGGACAGGAAAAGGTGAATATAGTCTCTTCATCCTTCTCCAGGGCCCTTTGTCCATCTCCTCTTAATAAAACATCACTTGTGTTCAAAGAGAAATGTTAGAATGAGCAATAATAAGTCTGGTCATGATTCTTCCTATTGGGTAACTAATTGTAGGCCTTTTTGTTATACCTTGTCACGTTATCCACGACAGTGTGTCACTTTGAGTTTCATTTCGTTGTTGAATCAGCAGGTACAGAGAAGTCCACTAAGCTGACCTCCCTGGTCTTAGAAATGAAGACCCTTCATCTCCTGCCCAGGGCACTTCCCTTAGCAAAGCTCTAGCAATTAGATTTAGGAAAACAGTCAAGTCCTCTTGGCTGTGTGATGCCCTGGTATGAGGTCATTCTCCAAAGTGGCCCTTGGATATGAGAAGACTCTTTAAAAATAGCTATTGGCCTCTTCAGTGTGAAGTAGCCCTATCCTTAAGTGACTCAGCCTCCCCTGAAGTTGTACAGACATGTGCTACTTGGTGCCAGTGGTGGAACTGTTCCTAGTCTGCCACCTGCATGTGGCCTGGTGTGAGAGGGAGCTCCTTGACTTTATCTGCATGCCTACTCTGTGAGGTTTAGAATTTAAAGCAGAATTTAAATTTAAACCCTCCCTCCCTCTCTCCCTCCCTCCCTCTCTCCCTCCCTCCCTTCCTCCCTTCTTTTCTTGAACTAGGAATTGTACCTAGGGCACTGTACATTCCAGGCAAGCACCCCCACTGAACTACACCCCTAGCCCTCTTAATTTTTCCCATTTTGAGACAAGAGTCTCCTGACCTAAGTTGCCCAGGCTACCTTTGAACCTAACTCTATAGCCCAGGCAGGCCTTGAACCTACATACTCTCCCTAACTGGGATCATGGGACCTCAAGAGAGATCCCTAAAACTGGCTTTGGTAAGATGGTCTATCAAAATGTCAGGCCTCAGCCCTGAAGCAACCAGTAGAACTGAAGGAAATTACCAGCTTAGGAAGGAGCACTGGAGGAGTGTTGCCTGTCCTGGGGCTGCTGAATTCACAGAGGGGGGACCGTACAGCACAGTTCCAAGCCGTCACTGTGCCGCGTCATCTTACGTGGTGCAGCCCTTGAGAGTTAGACGGAAACGATCCCCAAACACCTGTGCCTTCTGATCTCAACACAACGGACATACTTGGGTCTGCCCATTGCGGACCTGTGTGTGGCCACAGCTTCATTTCCTTGGAACTCCTTCACATTTCTAAGGGCCAAAGCTCCTCCCAGCAGGAAGCTTACAGGCTGTCTGAAACTGCTGAACTGTGCCTCGATGGAGGCTGGATCTGAAGACTGTAGTCAGTGATGGCCCCCCAAAAGCTCGGCCCACCCCCTGCTGGGCCAGGTCTTTCAGTCTTCCCCTGGTCCTTAATCTCACTTATTTGTTGTTTTCAGAGCTGGACTACAGAAACTCCTATGAAATCGAATACATGGAAAAGCTTGGCTCCTCCTTACCCGTGAGTTCCTCCTATACACTGGCCTGGCAGGGACTTCTGTGGGGTCTCCAGCAAGGCTGCACAGGGTCGTTCAGAGTTGTCTCATTACACAGAAATGCCACTCCCCATCCCTAGACTCATTGCTCCAGGTCTTGGGACTCTAGGCTGACCGCCTTACCAGTAACTCTTGTCCCTTTTAGCCATCCATTGTATAGTCAGTGCCCAAATCCACCTGCACTCTCCTGTAGGCCTTGATTGTAGAAGGACTCTCAGGGGTTCTGAGCTGCAGCCCCTGCTGTGGCCTCTGCTCATGACCCTCCTGCCCAGCCAAGAAGAAGGAAGCTTTGTCATTTCTGGCCAAGCCTATTGCCCTGTCTCTTTCTTTGGGGTCTGTCTCAGTGACTTTGCTGTTGCTGTGATAAAACACCATGACCAATTCGGGCTTAGGGTTCCAGAGGACTAAGAGTCCATGATAGCAGAGCAGAGGCACATCTTGAACCACAAGCAAGAAGCAGTCTTTAAACTCTCAGCAGAGCTTGCCTCCAGTAAGACAGCTTCCTCCAGCAAGGCCCTGCCTCCTAAACCTTCCAAACACCATTATCTTGGGACCAAGTATTCAAATGCGCAAGACTGTGGGGGACATCTCATTCAAACCACCACAGGGCCTCAGTGGCAGTGCTCATCGCTGGGGTCAGCATGCTGTCACTCCCTCATTCCCTTGTGAGGACTGAGAGCGTGGCTGGCTAACTCTGCATCCTCAGCACGGGTGTTTGCCACTGTGGCCCATGAGCACTGAGGGGCTGAACAGGGCACGTAGCAGTACCAGAGGGTTCTTCCCACCTTAGGTCTCCATGGGTCCTTCTCTCCTACTCTCCTGGCCCTCTCTGAGTCACCTCCTGCTTTCTCCTCTCTTCCGGGAGCTTGAGAAAGCTGAAGGCTTACTTGTTTCTTGTTGACAAGTACTTTCTTCACTTGAGTGGCGTACTCAGGCCACTGTTCCTGGCTAATGCATGTGTAACTTTGATTCCTGCAGCAGGATGATGACACTCCGAAGAAGCAGGCCTTGTACCTTATGTTTGACACCGCTCAGGAGAGCCCCGTCAAGTCTCCTCCAGTCCGGATGTCGGATTCCCCAACTCCGTGTTCGGGGTATGACTTCTATGATGGGAGAGTTGTAGCTTAGGTCAGAGGCCCCCAAGTCCTTGTATACCTTCCCGCTGTTTTTCTGACTTGGTTCCATTGTATGTGTGTCTGCAGGTAGCCCATAACTCAGTGTGTCTACAAGGGCACAGATGCATCACTTCTATTTCCAAGGGCTCTTTGAATAAAGGTGAAACAGCTGACTGACAGTAATAGACAGACAGACAGACACACACACATACATACACACACACACACACACACACACACACACACACAGAGCCAGTTCACACTCAACTCTATTCTGTTGTCGGTCCAGTAGCGACAGTGTGGTACAACACTGAAAGCTTAAGTCCCAGCTCTGTATCTGGTGGGAGTTACTTGGGTGTCCTATGCCTCAGTTTCCCTATGTGTAAAGTGAGAGGAATTAATGAATTCCCCACTGGAACCTGCCGGTGGAGATTTCTCTCAGGGTCCAGAATAGACACTATCAGCGGTGAAGAAATTAATCTGAGGGATATCAAAAGAATCTATGCACACTGAGCTCTTTAGTCCATTCCCTTTATTCTTCTAAGTCGATTCCATCTGCACAGCTTCTTCTCTGTCCTCATACTTAGCTCCTCTCTGTCCCTCTGTTGTTCTCTCATTGTTCCCCCTCCCTCCCTGAACTTCCCAGTATATATACACATACCGTCAGCAATCCTCTGGCTGCACCGTTTTCTGGTAGGGCCGGAGGAAGTTTACTGGGTTGCTAGGCAACCTGCATCACAATGTGTAGTATTTGGTTAGTAAAAGCACTTTTGCTCTGAGTTAATTGAAAAAAGGGGAATCCTAAGAACCAGGAATAACACCTGGACTGAGATAAAGGAGGGAGGGTAAAAGCTTAATTTGCACAAGAAACGAAGCTTGGCACCTATCCTCAGCCTGGCCTTGTCCCTTGTCTCCTTGGGTCAGTAGAAGTATTTACCTTGTCTCAGTAACTAGCAGATGGCCAAAACACCATCCCAGAATTGTAAGCAGTAAATCTCTTAAATTAGGGTCCTGTGGAAATAAACTGGGGTGGAGGTAAGGAGTTAAGGTCTTAATTGTTAGTGGTTATTTTCTTTTATCTGTAGGTGAGATGAACTAATGCTTATCTATCTATAGTCTGTCCTATCTCAGATGAAATACTTTTGTCTGGAGAATGGCCCTGGCCAGATGTTTGCTAATGAAGAATAAACACAGCTGGGGAATGTTGTCCAAAATACCCCAAATGTACAGGGAAAGTTGTGCCCAATAAATGATCAATCACACTGTTAGAAGTTCTTGGGAGAGGAATCAAATGGGAAAGCTACAATAGCACACAAGAAATTCACTGCAGGAACAGCTAATACATTAGAAAGCCAGTATCGCTGGATGGTGGCGGTGGTGCACACCTTTAATCCCAGCACTTGGGAGGCAGACCCAGGTGGATCTCTGTGAGTTCCAGGCCAGCCTGGGCTACAGAGTGAGATCCAGGGCAGGCACCAAAACTACGCAGAGAAACCCTGTCCTGAAAAACAGTCAGTCTCACCAATACTCCTTGAGTTTCGGCTTTATCTTCTGGAAAAGCCCTTGGCTCTTCCAAGTATAAGCTTTGCCATAGTCAGCTGAATTCCTACTTCATATTTCTGTGGCTCACAGCAAGGAATAAAGTGACCTCTAGGGATTTAGGGAGATTAGAGAAGACTGTAGTCCCCAGAGCAGTCAAGGGACAGACACAGGGAACCTGGCTTCTAGGAGATAGTGTATGGAAAGCCTGTGTTGTAGTGCCTAGCACATGTAAAGTGAATGACAGACATTTCTTGTTAGTGTGGATGTTAATATTTGCATGTGCCGGTGTCCATGTTCTGAAGAGTGTACACCCTTTGATGGGGGAAATGTAAAGCATTGCTTGATGCTATTTAGGTCGTCCCATCCGTCACTGGATACCTGCTCAGTACCGAGCAGGATTGGAAGCTCTTGTTTTGGTCTCTCAGACTTAACTGTAGGCCCTACAGACCAAACTCTGTCCAGATGTTAGGTGTTAGTGCAGCGATGTCTAACTAGAGAGAATGCCCTCTCCAAGAGTGGTCCCCTGTGGTAGGCACTATGTGGAGTACTTTGCGTTTATACAGCATCTTACTTCATCTTCTCCAAGGTGCCTATCCGCCTTCTAAGAAAAGATGTGATACCCAGTCTCTTCCCTCAGAATGCACAAGCAAGCAAGTAGCTGGTCCCTAAACTCCGGAGCTCAGTCCCCTTGCCAAAGGCATCTGTATCTGTTCTTCCCTTGTCTGTTGGCCCTTAAACATGGCTGGACTGTAGCCTGCCTCTAGATGGATGGCCCCTGAAGACCTGGCGTTTGTCTCTCCTTGGACACTGACTTGGAAGTCTCGGGTTTTGTGGGATGTTTTCTCTTTAGTGAGAGCTTCCTAATAGACTTCAGTTAGTCTCCAGGGAGAAGGCCCTAACGACTGACTTTTTCCCTCAGGTCGAGTTTTGAGGAGACTGAAGCCCTTGTGAATGCTGCAACCAAACTCCAGCACCCTGTCACACGCGGGCTGGCCTCCAACCAGGAGCCTCTCTTGCAGGTGCCAGAGAAACCCTCCCAGAAGGAGCTGGAAGCTATGGCTTTGGGCACCCCCGCGGAGGCGATTGAAATTGTAAGTGTTGCTTGAGGGGCTCTGTGGCTGAGCCCTCTAATGCGGCCATCCTTCACCTGGCTGTGGGGCCCCATGCTGGCCCCTAGACCACAGCAGTCAGCCTAGGAGACCCTACGTCTCACGGCGAGGGAAGAGCCTTCATTTCTCCCACGGTGGCTGTACCGTTCTCAGTCAAGTGCTTGATGCGCTCGGGCTTGTTTTCCGTTCTTCTCTCCCTGGAGCTGGACTGGTGGACAAGCTGGAGCCGTGGTCAGCCAGCCCCTGCCTCTCCAGCCTGTATAGCAAAGCAAAGATGGGCAGGGGAGGGAACATCCTCCTCTGGGGGACCAGCGATGTTTCTCTTGGGTCTCAGTGACAGGAGATTTCTCTTGCTCATCATCCAGGACTTCAACTTACCCTCTCCCAAGACCTCCAGAAGCCTTGCAGGACCCGTAGCCCTGAGATGAGGCCTCGCTGTCCCCACTCCCTACATGTTACGTGTGCTCGCCCTAGAGGGTGTAATATCCACGTGAGGGTCTTCCACATGTCTTAAACAAACCAACTGGGGTCAATTATACTTTTTCCTTCACCTCCCTCCTAGCAATCATCATACAGTTTGAGACGGTTTGATTTGGTGTGTTGCTTTTGCTCTCCATCAGGCAGCTTGATCTGTCTCATGCTACAGACATCTACAGAGCACCTGCTGTATGTGTGGCAGTTGGATGTTGGGTTGGATCCTGGAAACACAATTAGTGAACAATAAAAGGGTCTAGATGTGACTCGATCTTGCATATAAGTACTGTGGCAGACTTGGCCATCGTTCATCTCCTGCAAAGTTGCCTTCTAATTTGGAAGTCTTTCTAATCTATGATGAGTTACCTATTTGTTTGAAATCGTCTTTTCACTATTGAAAATGGCCCTCACTCAAACCTTACTTTCCTTGATATTTGTCCTTGGTGCTGTTTCTTTGATGAACTGTGTTGGCGTTTGAAAACCCATCAACTAGCTTGCCTCCCACCCATGGAGATTTTCAAAGAAAAAAGCAGTGGTTATGTGGCTTCCGCTGCTCTGGCTAGGAAACCAGGGTGACATGGGCCTGGGGAGGGAGGGCTCCTGAGGCCCTGCTTTTGGGCAAAGGGGCGGGGCCTGCCAGTCCCAGTCCCAGTCCCAATGGTAGTGTGAATATCGACCACTGACTGATGTTCTCTTTAGCCCTAATGCAGCAATGTGCAGTGTGTGTTTGTGCGGTCCTTGCTTGAAATCAATATCTTTCTACTCTCCTCTATTTTCCATTTTCCTCTCGGCCGGCCTTCAGACAGCTCCGGAGGGTGCCTTTGCCTCTGCGGATGCGCTCCTCAACAGGCTGGCCCATCCTGCTTCTCTCTGTGGTGCACTTGACTATCTGGAGCCTGACTTAGCAGAAAAGAACCCCCCAGTATTTGCTCAGAAACTTCAGGTTTGTAGCCCCTGTGTGACCTTTCGGGAGTTTGTCAAAACCTCAGTAGAAAATGAACCCCTGAGCCAAATTGAGCTGAGGCAGTACTTAATGAGGCAATGCCGGGAATGTTCCAGATGAAGTGTTTTCCTCTCAGACACTGATATCTGTGTATGCTCTAGCCAGGGTGCCAGAATTAGACAAATTGTGTGATTACGTACCGAAAGGACTCTTTTTATTGGTATTAGGAAATTGGTCCCAATAGTCATTTTCCTGATGTATTTATTGATAGCCCCACAGGCAGTTTATGATTTACTCACTAAACCACAGGTATCAGGTCAAGCCAAGCTGTTTAAATACATAAGACAATCCCAAATTCCCATTGAGGTAACATCTGGAACCAAAACGTATCTCTGTAGAGGAAATTTGACAGCTTAATTTGCTATTCCCTGGACTAGGAAGCAAGGCCGACCTAGAGAGGTTATTAACAGGCATCTGAGAGATGCATGGCCGTTGACAGCAAGCGCTGATCAGCTTTTTAAAAACAAGGAAAGAAAGCAAGAAATACTGTAGAGTAAAAATGACCGTCCTGTTTTGAAAATCAGTTCACATTTGACCACATGATACTTCTTGACAGACCTTCAAAGGGGTGATTTTTTTTTCAAAAAGGAAATTAAACCCCCCGTTTCATGATCTGCTGAGGTGTTGGTTGTGAGAGAAAGCCGAGCGTATGTTTTCCCACGAACACCTGTCATATGCATTTATGTGGCACATTCATTCCTGGATGTGGAAACCTTCTGTCTGTCTTGATGCATTTCCCTACGGTTTGCTCACCCCTACCCCTCGGGCAGGAGGAGTTAGAGTTTGCCATCATGCGGATAGAAGCCCTGAAGCTGGCCAGGCAGATCGCCCTGGCTTCCCGCAGTCGCCAGGACACCAAGGTACCTGTTTGCCGCTGCGGTGCACTGCCTTCTGGGAATGCTGTGTGTGCCAGGGGTCCCAGGGCTGCTTTGCTAACCACTGGCCAGGCGGGCATTGTGGGTGTCCCATGAAGTGTGATTTCTCTGAAGCTAAAAAGTATAACTCTTACACAAACACACACTGAGCACATGTGTAGGGATGCACACTGAGCACATGTGTAGGGATGAGGTCATGCAGCCAGGCAGAGGGGAGTGGGAAAAGCCAGCATAGAGCACAGGGAATAAAAAAAAAGTCTTTGAGTGAGGTGGTAGACTAGCTGTATGTAAAACTGGTTAGTACTGGTTCACTAGGACCAGAAGAGAATCCCCCTTGGAGTTACCTTTTCCTGTAGATACCCTTTGTCTCTCTATGGGTTAAAGTAATTTGTAACGTTTCTGTTTTCTAGAAGTTTGTATCTGACTTTACTGAGAGTCAATAGTAAGTAGGAGGTGAGAACAAGACTTGCTTCAAGACATGGGATGATCTAGATGAGGACAAAGAGACACAATAAGAAGATGTAATAAAAAAATAAGTAATGAGACACATCGATAAGACATTTGGAGTCTTCCCACCCGGCCTCTAGGCTTAGGGTAATAATTCTTAACAGTATGGTGATGACATGTAGGTGGCACCTCACCCTCAAGCTGCCAGTGAGCTGTGGCCTCAATCCCACTCCCTCCCCACCCAGAGTTGGGCAGCTCAGTGAACTTGGTGTGTTGGACCAGGGCCGGATCCCACTTTGTTTTATAGTTTGAGCCTTGAACGAGTTAATGAACCTTGCTGAGCCTCAGTTCCTCCATCTCTGAGATGAGGCTAGTTTGCCTGTGGTGGAGAAGACCATGCTTGTGGACGGCAGTAGCCTTGCGCCTGCACACCTAACATATACTGGTGTGCAGTTAGCCAAAGGGGCTGCTGTCAGCTAGCACTTCGATTTTATTTATCACCTGGATATTCCACAGCGCCTCTCCTGGGAAAGCAGAGCTAAGTCTCACTTTACAGATTGAGAATCAGGGCCGCATATCCAGAGTTCGCCAGCCTGTGGGGCCTTGAACTGGGGTCACCAATGGACCTGCCTGTTCAACTCCACCTCACAGACTAGGTCATTTGCGGAGGACCTCCCAGGTGTGGAATAGGAACAGAAATCCCAAGAGCCCACACATGGCTCGCTCTAGCTAGAGCCCAAGTCGGGTCCCCTCCTGGAGACAGGAGGTGGTCACAGTGTGGATGTCCAGACTGGGAACAGTGGAACACAGGTCAAGGATAAGAAACAAAACTCAGAGATGTCTTTGTTCTTATTGCCAAAGTATAAACTTGAGCTGAATTGCCATGAACGGGAGATTTCCAGAAAGCACCAAGCGCCGAGGACCCTGCTCCCCACCCACCCCCACAACCCACCCCTGCCAGATTGATTTCTTGAATCTTTGCAGAATAACTTTAAGATAGAATGAATTGCCTAAAATTTGACCATTGTGGGGCCTGGAGAGATGGTTCAGCAGTTAGGAACACTGGCTGTTCGTCTAGAGGACCCAGGGTTCAATTCCCAGCACCCACACAGCAGCTCACAACTGTCTGTAACTCCCAAGATCTGACACCCTCACACACAGACACACATGCAGGCAAAACACCAATGCACATAAAAAGAAATAAATTTTTAAAGAAGTATGACCACCGTCCATACAGTGTATTCCTGCCCTGGAGAATAGTGAAATAGAGTTGGTCACGTTCTGGTAAGTAGTTCAGGCTGAGCACGAAGCCTCCTAGGAGGCAAGTATCCTGTCTCCTTCTACTAATATGCCAGAGATAACTTTCAAAAAATAAGAGTTGACGTCCTGTCTCTGGCAGCCTCAGAACGTGTTCTGGTTTCGCTTTAGACAGCAACGCCACAGAGAGTACAAGCTGAGAGAAAGCCCGGTTCACCCTGCGGTGCCTCAGAAGTGTGAGCCGAGGAACACTCTGTCGAGGAAGAGCTACAGCCGTCTTGGGTGGGGGGAGCATTTTCTATTCCGGGGATTCCCCTTGTGGCCTTCTCTCCTGTGTCTGTGCTTGGTGGCCCCTCTCTGCCTCCGAAGCCATGCGTATGCAGACAGAATACAGTGGCTGTGGGTCCAGGTGCCCTGTCTGCCCCGGAGTCTCAGACGTGAGTGATGCAGTCCCATTTTCCTGGCAACACTACTTTAAACCGTTGATCCCTCCGAGTTCGAGACCAGCCTGGTCTACAGAGTGAGTTCCAGGACAGTTAGGGCTACTCAGAGAAACCCTGTCTCCAAAAAAAAAAAAAAAAAAAAAAATTACTTAGGAGTAAGGATATAACTTTGAGGGATTGAAAATTCAGAGCAGCTTTGAAGTGGATGGTGCTGGGTCAGCCTCCACAGAACTGCAGCAAGAAGCTGTGTCCTCCTGTTCAGAATCAGTTAGAAACGGGGTAACATCCCTAGGAACTAGGGCTCTCGTGTTGGGCTGTGGCTTGCTTTCTTTTTATTTTTAAAACATTCTTTGAGAATGTCATATGTGCATATAATGTATTTTGATCATGTTCACCCTTCCAATTCCTCCTGGTTTACCCCTTCCCAAAGTCATGTTCACACACCTCCTCCCACTTTATAATTGGGGGAAAAAAAATTTTCATACAGTAATTCCCCCTCCCACTCCCTGTGGGCTGTGGCTTTCTTATTCTGTTTCTCCCACTTGCTTCTGCTGGAGCTGAGTTCCGCTAGTCCCCTAAGGATCAATATACAATGCAGCAGCCCTGAGGTCCATACTCAGAAGTTCTTTCCCTGGCCCTCCAAGGTATGGGTAGCAGGGCCGTGTTGGCACATTTTGCATACATGACAAACTGATTGTAATCGCTAGACCTGTTGGCCTTTATTGATAAGGGGGCCCCCAAGACGAAGATGGAAAGATGTGTTCAGGCAACTTAGGAACGTGATCATACAAATAGCAAACTTTAGCTTGGGAACGGTTCCCACACGGAGGGTAATCCTGTATGTGATTACCTCAAGAGACCTGGCTTAGATGAGCAGATGACTAGGGTTGACATGAGCTGGAACAAGAGTGGAGATGGGACTGCGTTTATTGTTGTCTAGCAGTGTGGCATCTCAGCAGGGACAGTGTACTGTGGACAAGGAGCCCAGCATCTTTCACATGCTCCTTCCTCTCACAAAAGTCACTCCCTCCCTCCACCACCAGGCACATCCCTGGAAGCCACAAGAGCAGTCTGAAGAAGAGTGGCAGAGGACTGGTTGGCGGGCTTTGGTTTGCTCTCCAGCTTCGGAATCTGTGGTTGGAGCCTGTACTTTAGCCTCAGTGGCTGATTCTTGACTTGGTGGGCAGGCACAGCTGGATGAGGTCTGGTTATGATGGCTTCCATGGAGTGGGACTGAGGTGTGGGGCCAAGTGCTTCCCCTGTGCTTGCAACTCCCAGGCTGGGAAACTGTCTGCTGTCAGATTGGGATGGGTAGCATCTAGCCAAGGTCCTTTTCCTGCCTGGGTGGTGTCACGTGGCCCAGACACCTCCTGAGACCTCGAGCCTTAGCTTGGTTTTCCTGGTCCCTGACCTCACCTGTGTGGCCCTTTCTCATGGCTCCCCAGGCCTCAGATCTGAGTTTGCTCCTGACTGCTGTGGGGATAGTAATCTGCCATGATCATGATGTCCCGCCCCCAAACCCTAAGGCCTAGCAATAAGAAGGGTCACAAGGAGAACTATGAGTCTGGGTACATGACGGGACTCCTACCTTCAAGGCCAGCAGGAGGCCCGTGGCCCAGGAATCTGAAAGAGAGATAGTGACTGGAGTGACGCCATAGTTTCCAGGACTTAAGACCATGTGAAAGATTGAAGGTGGCAAAGATCTGTGCCTTTGGAATTGTGACCATGTCACAGTTTAGTAAAAAGGATTCTGGTGGCTTTTCGGCCTGCGTGAAGCAGCAGGTCTAAGTGTGAGAGAAATGAAGCTGGGCATAAAAATAACTGACCTTAAAATATTAGTGAGAGACAGACTTTTAATTTCCCTTGAAAACATTCATGGCTGAAAGGAAGAACCGAGGTGTGAGTCCTGAATTCATTATCCCACAGATAACTGGAGGGGGCAGGGAGTCAAAGTGGTCCTGAAACTGTCTGTTCCCCGACTGAAAATGCCGAGTGGTTGTGGCTGAAGGATGACACCTAGGATCTCACGCCTTTGCATCCATTTAGATATCTCTGTGTTTATTTTTTTCATCCCGTCCTTGTTTTACAAAGGACACCAGGCAGATTGGCCATCTCTAATGTGTTCCTTGGTCAGACTTAGCTCCTGCCCTGCGTGATACAAAATTCATTTTCATTATTAAATTATTTTTCTCTTGCACTGCAAGGAGCTGCTTTACTTTGAGGCAGAATAATCTCATTTGGGAAAACCTTTAGGCCCAGCCTCCCACATCCTGCATCCGTCTTCAGAAGTTTCAAACTGAGTTTAGAAGCTCCAACATCCTGTTCATTTTGAAATTTTATTTTTTCTCAGATTTTTAAAAATTTACTTTATGTGTACAGGTGTTTTACCTGCATGCATGTATGTACGTGCACCATGTGCATGCCCTGGTGCCCACAGGGGCCAGAGAGGGTGTCGGATCCTCTGGGACTGGAATTAGAAGGTGAGCCAACATATGGATGCTAGGAAGTGAACCTGAGTCCTCTGGAAGAGCAGCTAGTGCTCCTAACCACTGAGCCATCTCGTCAGCACCCACCCCACCCCCATTTTTTAAAGAGCACGTTTAAAAGTGAAAAGAATAGGGTTTGTTGTTTGTTTTCCCTTTTTAAGTTCTCTTCATAGTTTTGTGTTTGTGAGCTTTTCTAATTACATCTATTGAGTGGTGATTTCTGGCTGTGATTTTCCAGTTACTACTGGGACATTTCCTTCAGAGAAGTAGCATTGTGCAAACTATTGCCAAGAGCAGAGGTAAGCCCTCATGCAGATCCTCTGCCCTGCCGCCTAGGGGCATTTTCTCTCCCGAGGGATCCGGCTGCCTGCTGCCAGGGGCTGGCAGCTTGTGCTCTAGGTAGATGTCCTAGGAACAGACTTCCCCGGGACCAGAAACTGAGAAGGACATTCATGGCATCCCATCTGACATATAAGCATAGACTCTGTTCTGGTTGACCAGGTCTGTGTGCTCCGGGTTCTCACAGCTGATCATGTGACTCACTGAAAAGTAAGCCCAGGCATTTCAGGGCAGGCATGACCAGTGAGATTCAGGTGATCCACGAGTGCCATTTGAGGGTAAGCCCAAAGTCTTGAAGGTAGGCCTGGTCAATGAGTCACTTGAGGGTTAGTCAAGGACTTAAGGGCAGGCAGGGACAGCGAGCAAGCAGGTCACAGCAGTTTTCTTCCAGGACAACTAAACTATTGTGTGCACCTTGCATGTGGACACTAATGGTCCTAAATTGTCACCTCCAGTCCTATCCATTGCTCTCCCACCTGCATTTTCTACCTCCCTTCTTTAGACCCTTAGCCCTGGTACTATGGTGAGGAGAGGTGGGGCTAGCCATTCCTGTGTTTATAAACGTTCTGCTCCTGGGCCTTCAGCTCCACCCCTTCCCATGACCACTGATGCTCTCCTTCTATCTGTGCAGTTCTCAATCCTCACCCTCCTGTCTCCTCTCCCTTTTCTATAAAACGGAGGTGTCTGTTCAGTGCTCAGTTTGTTCTCCTAATTCTCCCAGGATGGAGCAGTCCACTCAGCCCCTCAGGCCACCATCACCTACCTCACACTGCAGCACTGACCTGTACTCTAACTAGGGTGGAGGCTTCCTTGGCAGCCATGACCGCGCCCAGGAGGTTAATGCGTAGTAGGACTGAGAGTGGTTGATGGGACGTTTTTTGTTGCCGTGGAAACAGGCTGACAAGCCTGGCCGTGCTGGTTGACATTGCTCCTAACACTGTGTTTCAGCTGTGTTGCAAGTTGCTTAATGTTCTACGTGAAGGAAGAATAGCCATGTGCCCCTCCTCGCCTCGCTGCGGCTGGTGACTGACCCCTACAGAACTTGAGACAGCTGCAAATGGTTTTTCAGTTGGGTGGGGCAGGACATCGCCTTGCTTGCTTGTAGGCTTCATCAGGAAATGTAGAAAGATAATTGTCTTTGACCCCAGCTTTCCTCTTTGCTGCTATACAGCAGACCTAATGGCAACATCTCTCAAGCCCAGACAGAATAAGGTTGACAATAGTAGGCTTCATATTTTGTGCAGATCACATCTTTTTCAACTGAGCCACATGAGCACCACCAAATTTAAATGTGTTCAGAAATGATCTAATCTTCAGCTATTCAAAACTAGGCAATGTAGACCAGCATTCAGAATCAGTCCCCAGCAAGACTTGATTTTGGAAGTGGAGCCAACAGAATAATGACTGGTCTTGACTTACAGTGCCTAGTTGACTCAGCCTCTGATAAATGGCCGTGATAAGCAGGCTGCAGACCGGTGGGCCCCCAGGGTTCCTAGTTACAGAGGCTGCCATCTCATCAGCCCCTTTGTGTGCCTGAACGTGTGCAACATGAAGGCTTTCCATCCCCTGGACCTGGCATTACCCCATCCATGAGTCTTTGCGTTATCTCATACTTTCAGTGTTCTTTGTTTCAAAACCACGCAGCTGAGCGGGTGAATGCAGTTCTCAGGGCCATGCCTGCAACCCTGTCTGTCATGCCATTAGTGGTGACTGTTCTGTTTCTTTCTCTCTCTGATGAAAATAACATCCACAGAGGGAAGCTGCTCATCCAGCAGACGTCTCCATCTCCAAAACTGCCTTGTACTCCCGCATCGGGCCCACTGAGGTGGAGAAACCCCCCGGCCTTCTGTTCCAGCAGCCAGACCTGGATTCTGCACTCCAAGTGGCCAGAGCAGAGGTATGAGACCTGTGGTGTCAAGGGCCATATTCTTGACCCCGGGATAGGGTCCGAGTCTGCCAGTTGTCAGTAACCATATTTACCCATGACGCTGCTCTTTGGAGACAGACTGTCCTCTAAACACTGCAAGCTAGCTGGGTGGCACACCATGGCTTTTGATCTGCCTAGTTTCCATGCTAACGGGCATGGCTGACATGCTGTAGAAGACACTTCATCATAGTTGCTCCCCTGGGGGCCTCGGGGAAGAAGTCTTTAATTCTCCTGCTTGGAGGATTCTCTGGATGGAATCCTGGTTTTGTGTGAGAAGTTTTCATCCCATGTGTATGTGATGTGTCCTGGATTTGGTGAGAACTGAATGCTCATTTGGGCTCTGCCTTTCTCCTCTCCCCGACCCTAGGTTATCTCCAAGGAGAGAGAAGTCTCAGAGTGGAGGGACAAATATGAAGAGAGCAGGCGGGAAGTGATGGAAATGAGGTCAGTGGGGCTCAGCGTTCCTGCTGCCCAGAAGCGCTGTCTGTGGCTTCCTGGCAGCTCATGCTGAGGTGCCCTCACCCCCAGCAGGGTCTTCTGTAGAAAAAGTTCATTCTTCTATTATTCAAGGCTCATATTTTTACATGGGAGTTTTTAAGAGATTTTCTTTTTAATTTAAAAAAATTTTTTTAAGACGAGGTGTAACAGTCTTGGCTGTTCTGGAGCTCACTCTTTAGACCAGGTTGACCTCGAACTCATCGAGATCCGTGTGCACCATTGGCTCATTATTCTTAAATATGTGTGTCTGTGTGTGGAGTTAGTGTACATGAATGCAGGTGCCCTTGGAAGCCAGAGGCATCAGGTCCCCCCAAAGTTGGAGCATGGCTGAGAACCACCCAACATGGATTCTAGAAACTGAACGTGGGTCTTCCTGGAACAACATAAGTGCCTGACGGCTGAGCTGTCTCCTTAGCTTCTGCAAGTGTTTTTAGAATAACACTATGCACTAGAGAGTCCAGTCAGATGAATGTGTAGACAGTGAAAGTGTCTCCCCCAACTCCAGTCAACTTGCATTCCTGTGTACATTTCCAGCAGCAAGCCACACACCTAGATCAGTGGTTCTCAAACTTCCTAATGCTGCACCCCTTTAATACAGTTCCTCATGTTGTGGTGACCCCCAACCATACAATTATTTCATTGCTTCTTTATGACTGTAACTTGGCTGTTATAAATCATAATGTAAATATCTGATATGCCATCCCCAAATGGGTCGTGGCCCACCGGTTGAGGACCACTAACCTAAGTGATGACAGCCACCATCACATCTTCCTGAAACCTCATTCTCACTCTGCTTCCCGCTGCTTCCCGCTGCACCCGCTGCCGCTCTCCGATGCAGGCAAACCCTGCATCCCGAGAGGACTGCTCTGGTAGAGGGCTGCTTGACACCTGGCTGTTTTCATCTGGGGAAGATGCCAGGCGTGGTGGTGGTGGTGCGCACCTTTAATCCCAGCACTTGGGAGGCAGAGGCAGGCAGATCTCTGTGAGTTCAGGGCTAGCCTGGTCTGTTTAATGAGTTCCAGACCAGCCAAGGTTATAATGAGACCCAGTCTCACCAACCCACTCTTTAAAAAAAAAATTTTTTTTTTTTTTTTTTAGTTTAAAAGTGCAAGGGAGCTGGGCAGTGATGGTGCATGCCTTTAATCCCAGCACTCAGGAGGCAGAGCCAGGCGGATCTCTGTGAGTTCGAGGCTAGCCTGGTCTACAGAGCGAGATCCAGGACAGGCACCAATACTACACAGAGAAACCCTGTCTTGAAAAACCAAAAAATAAAAATAATAAAAATAAAAATGCAAGGGAATAAGAAGTAGCATCTTATATACTTTGAGGAGCGTCCACTCCATCAGAGGAGACGATACAGAGAGAATGTTAGGGAACTCCAAGAGAAATCAGGAAAGGCTTCCTGGAGAAGAGAACATTTGACTTAGACCTTGAGAAGCCGATTCTGTGAGGTAGAAATAGGAGGAAGTACACAAACAACCTGGGTACACTTGGGATGAGAAAGCCTAGTTCAAGGAAGAAATGTCTGTCCATGTTGAGCCACCGTGTCCACGAGCTGGTGGTAAGCTTGTGGAGGAGGCGAGACCTGGGTGTCGAAGACTCAGCCATCAGGTGGCAGATCTGGCCTTTTGTCTCACGTAGTGAACAGTGGAGGTGTGGCAGGGTTGGACAGTGCACTGGACTGAGGGTTGTATGCCAGGGAACCAAACTTGTTGATGAGTACAAGGACGCGTACAGAGCGTGCGAGCCTTACACTGTCCAGCTGTGGGGTGGAGATTTAGCAGGATCCTGTTACTAGAGTTCACCATGCCTTTGCCTTTCTTCCAGGAAAATCGTGGCTGAATATGAGAAGACCATTGCCCAGATGATCGGTGGGTGTCGTGACTGGAGTCCTCAGGCCCAAACTATAGGGAGGGGGGAGTGTAATTGGGGTGGGGGTTGGGTGACAAGGCTCTGAGCCAGTTCCTTTAAGAGCAGGGACCAGAGCAGCTGTACTTGTGGCTGTAGCCTGGAGATACCCCCAGGAATATACTTCACACTACCCAGTGTCTCCTGAGCCCTCATTTGCCCAGCCAGGGGTGATCCACCATGTTGGGAAGGAGTTTGGGTTTGGCCACTGGGATGTGTGGGGGTTTGGGATTTTGCTTGCAGAAAAGCATAGAATTAAAACCCCTAAACCCTAATTTAGTTTGGAGTCAAATGACTAAGTACCCATATACTTTAACCAGTGGACTTAGAACCAGGATGGAATCTGTGGCAAGTCCCTATCCAATACCCTTCCTCTGAGACTGGCAGACCCTGTTAGCCAATCCCAGCTCTCCCTGATAGAACACCTCCGTCACAACACTACATCCCTGACAGCCAGAGCTGACAGATTGCTTAGGCCTGCAAAGAAAGAAGGCCCCACATTAGCAAGTGACACGATGACCTTCCTTCCTTCCTTCCTTCCTTCCTTCCTTCCTTCCTCCCTCCCTCCCTCCCTCCCTCCCTCCCCATCCTCTCTCTCTAAAATGAAAATCAGTCTTGGAGACGTTCCAGAGTCCAGTTTTTTATAGTAATAGTCTTGGGGAACTGGTGTTTATTGATTTATGTCGAGCTATCCGTTTACTTGATTAGATTCATGATAATCAGTTTTTAAAAGTAATTTTACCCGCCTAAGGATTTGTGAGGTAAACCTGCAAGTCACTGCAAACTGAGTGCTCTGGCTGGATATGCATGAGCAGGTCCCCTAGGAGACCCCTTAGCAAATGTTTGGCTCTTTGAGTTCCACCCATCTGTGGTTTATCCCAAGATAAACAACCCAGTAGCCTTTGAAGTAGCAAGAAGGCCAATGGTTGAATGCCTTACTCTCTCAGGAGTGTTAATTGTGGCTTAAGTTAATCAAGGCTTTCACCTGGAGCCCCTCCGCCCCGTCAGGCACATTCAGCCACATTGATCCCATGGTGGATGCATCACATCAGACGAGCTTAGTGATGAGATAAAAACTTTGAAACTCTGGGATTTGTAAGTGCCGGCCAAAGCACTGGAGAGGGGCATGCTTATCTCAGCCTGGAAAGGGTTGCCAGACCTTTGGACTCCTGGTGTCTTGGGGTGTGAGTGTCCTTGAGATGACATGGTCAGATGCAGGTGTGGTGTTGAGGGGGAAAGGTGTGAGCTTTGGCTCCTGAGGGAATGCTGCCACAGCCGGCTTGTAGCACACAGCTAGGGACTTTGAGAGAAGCAGGGGCCCGCCGTGGAGGGCTCCAAGCATGAGGGGCTTCTCTGTTGGATCTCTCAGGATAGCCTGCCATTATGGTCATAAAGATGACTAGATGCCGAGGCCTGCTTCTCAGATAAATTGTGGCTGATAGAAGTTAGAACATTTTGGTCTTCGACAACCAGAGGAGTGGGTATCAGAGGCAGGTGTGTTTCCTATTTAGACTCTTTGAACAGTTTCCTGTTCTCAAGAGAACCCCCAGAATGGCTCAAAGAGACTACTGCAACATCCCCAGCTGGGAGCGTCATCACTCAGTTAACAGCCCGACTGTGTGGGGAGTCACTAGCCTTACGCGCCAGCCTCTCCCTCATCTGCTTTTCCAGAGCTTTTCTAATCCAGGAAAATTGTATGTCAGTTGCTATGGAAGGTGACCGGGTGGTGAGGCCACCAGATATTTCAGGGTCCACAGAGCCAGCCTGGGACATGACTGGGAAGGTGGGTGGACCTGCCTGCCTTCAAGGAAAGGGAATCTCTTCACTTACAGAAACCCACCCAAGGGCCTCATCTGGACCCGGTGTCTCCATCCCATTTTCATTCCACCTGCCCAGCAAGGAGAACTTGGGCCTGAGAGCTTGGCAGCTTAGGGCCAGGATGAATGTAGAAGTGTTGCGAAGTAGACCCTGATTCTTCTGAGCCATGCCCGCCCTCCTCCCACGTAGCTTTCGGATGCCCCACACCTCATCCCTCCTCACCAGCTTCTCTGAAGGAAGTGTGCCTTAATAAGTGTGTTTTAATAAAACTCCTTGGAATTTAGGACAAAAAGGAACCTCTGTGCTTTCTGCATTCCAGATTGTTGCAAATTTTTTTTGTTTTGTTTTTGCTTTCCTAACAACTGCCCTGATTATCTGTTTTGCTTCCATTTTCTGTTGCTTCTTGCCCTTTGCTTGCAAAACAAACAGGCAAGCCTGGTAAGTAAATGCTCCCCACTCCCACCCCCTCTGATCCCTGCCCATTGCAACCCCCCTTGTGTTTTGTTTTTCTGGTTTGGTTATTTTTGCTTTTGTGTACTGGCTGCATTCCCCACCCGGTTTAATAGTGGTCTGCCTGCGAGCGCCAGAAAACTGTATCAGGGTTGAGAGTGCAGTGTCCCTTGGGCTGACCCTGATTTCCTGTCTTTAAGAGCCTAACTTCCTTGGTCACGCAGAAGATGTGTGCTGCATTGCCACTGCCTGGCTCCTGGGGACTGGGCAGTTCTATTTTTATCAGTGACAAAAGGAAAGCTGAGGCTAGGCGACATCTTAGATGCAGGAAATCAGATGGACTCTGTTTGATAAATGGCTCCTTCAGCCTGTCTGGTGAAATGTATACGTGACCGCCAATCAGCTCAGAATGTACATCGTATGGCATGCTGGGAATAAAGGAAAGGGCTAAAATCTGGGTAATAAAAACTAGTGAAACTTGAAAATGCTCTCTCTCTTAGGAGTGTCGATGTAGGAAGTAGACTACTTGTAGTAGAAAGTTCTATGTTTAAAAGGCAGTGCTTTACAAGTCATTATGACACACTGTCCCACCTAGTCAGGGGGGATGTTAAGGGACAGTGGTGCTATTGATAACAGGTCGCTGATTGCCCAGATGGTGCCTGGGTGCCAAGACCTTTGTCTTTTTTAATCTCTTCAAATGCTATGGCTTAGAAACCTTGCCATCCCCTGGTTCTGGTGAGGAGACTCAGTGAGTTTGAGAGCCCTGCCTGAGGTCACACAGCAGAAAAGTATCAGAGTTGAGGTTCAGATTGGTCTGTTAGATTTCAGAGTCACTGCGCTTGATGGCTTCTGGCTGCTGCAGAGAATACTAGGAACCCTGGGATCATAGAGGTGGGTGGGATGGAGGGACATTAGGTGTCTCCTAGGCCAGTGGTTTTCCAGGCAGGGCTCTGGGCCAGCTACATCTGAATCTCTTATTACTTGTGCAGATTCCCAGACCCACTCTGACCTGCTAAGTCAAAAAGCAGGATGAACATGTCTGTTTGAATGGCCCTTTGAATGCATGTTCACTTCTGACAGCCACCTTGCTTTGTAGACAAGGCTTTGGAACCATAAAATATCAGGGCTTTTCAACATGTTTCTGTCAAGCTTGGAGATAAAATTCAGGCTGTGACCCCACCATGCCACACAGCAGTACCATGCCAAACTTAAGACACAGCAAGATGCCGGTCTATCAGAAATGAAATGGAAAATAGCCCAAATCCAAACTTCCTGCTGTTCCTGATGGGAACCATCCAGGTCCATCATTGCAGGAGGGAACAGTCCAGGACCTTCACTGCAGGAGGGAACAGTCCAGGTCCATCACTGCAGGAGGGAACCATCCAAGTCCATCATTGCAGGAGGGAACAGTCCAGGTCCATCACTGCAGGAGGGAACCATCCGGGTCCATCATTGCAGGAGGGAACAGTCCAGGTCCATCATTGCAGGAGGGAACAGTTAGGTTCATCATTGCAGAAGGTAACAGTCCAGGTCCATCATTGCAGGAGGGAACCGTCTGGGTCCATTGTTGCAGGAGGCTTGAATGGAGTTTAGTCATGACTGTGCTTTTGTCTTTGGATCTGAGTCTGGGCTGTGCTGTTCCCTCAGTGAACAAATAACTTTGCTGTTCACTTTCTCCTTCTGTAAGACAGGGACAAGAAAACCTTGTACGGGTCACTGTGTGGCCGCCTTTGTCTGTGCACTACATGGATCATGTAGCAACATCACTTGTATGGAGGTGTTTTGTGTGCCCAGAGCAGTGAACCAGACAGACCTACTGTCAGCTCCTGAGGAGAGTGGCCAGGTTGCTTTTCCCAAACACCTGACAGGCTCAGCTGAAGGGAAGATTGTGATGTTTGCCTAACAGCTTCAGAACAGTCAGCCGTCATGGTGGTAAGGGCAGGCAGTTCATATCTTGACAGACAGGAAGCAGAGAAAAGAGATACAGAAAGAAGCTAGGACAAGATCAGCCCCAAGGACTTGGCCCCAGTGACCTACTTCCTCTAGGCTTGCCCCACCTCCTACTTCCTGCCACCTCTTGGTAACAAGTGTCCTGAAGATGCATGCATTCACAAGCACACCCAACATATGCTGTGCTAACCTACGCATTTCTCAGTCCGACCAACCTGACGAAATTACCATCAGAAGAGGCAGCAGGAAGCCCTGTGTCCCAGGCCTGTGGCAGGGAAAGTTGGAGTATAACAGAGCCAGAACCCACAACTGGCCCAACCACACATGCACACACAGGCATGTGTTTTCACAGGACAAATGGAAAGGAAGTGATTGAGTTTCCGAGGGCTCCTGAGCTATGGGGCAGGAGCTGTCTGTGGTAGTGTGGGCTGTCAGGGCTGGAGTAAGTGTATGGGGTGCAGCCTAGGTTTTATTCTCAATACACGAGGAGCTCTCTCCAGGCAGACTCCGAGCAGAGTGAGATGGCCACGTTTGCAGTTGAGGCTGGCAGCTGCCGCTGCTGTCACTGTTAGCAGTTCCAGATGTCATTTTCCCATTAACAGCCAGCTCTAAGCCAGTCCTGGGCAATAGATGGCACCCTCCTAGGTAACCTGGGAGTGACAAAGGTCTGCTGGGCTGCTTGTTTTCCCCCAGGAGCTCTTGGTGCTGAAGAGGGGAGCTAGGGGGTGTCATAGGGTCCGCTATCACAAAGAAAGTAAAGCGTGCCTTGCCTACTCCATCTCCACCTCGGCTAGAGGGTGGTGCACAGGTTGGAAGTTGTATTCATGTCAGAGACAGTTTGTCCCATAGTGTAGAGACACCTGAGGTCATTGTGGGGTGACTGAGGGTCAGAGATGGGCAGGAGCAGAGCTGTTGCTCAGGCTAGTACCAGTAACTGAACTGAGCCCCAATGGAACTGGGCTGCCTTGCTGAGAAATGAACTTTACCAATACTGTCTTGGTTTGCCTAGCATGTGGTACTTTCTACAGCCAAGAAGTCAGTGTTGCCATGAACAGAATTCCAGGCCTTGGGGGTGTTCTAGGGACAGAGAAACCTTTCTCCCAATGACTTATATCTGTCTTGATACCATTTAGGAAGTTACCCCGAAGGCCCATCACAGCACCTTTAATCTCATCTTCCCAGGAAATACAGTAGTAATGTTTTCCTTCTGACCCTGTGTGGATCTGCTTAGTGAAGGAAAAGTAGATTCCCAGGGTGGGTCTCCAGTGTAGATGTGCAAGGGGCCGCACTGGTCGGGTTAAAGATTCCCCACATGATCCGTCATGATCTTAAGTCTGTGGTGTCAGATCTGTGAGTTTTGTCTCGTTGGAACCCTCTGGGAGGGAGGGCTCATGGGTTCATTCCAAGGAAACACTTGGTGTTGCGCTTGAGTAAACCTAGTTTGGATTGAATTGGCCCCATTGTCTGACTTCTGTCTCTCCTGCCAGAGGACGAACAGAGAGAGAAATCGGTCTCCCACCAAACCGTGCAGCAGCTGGCCCTGGAGAAGGAGCAAGCCCTGGCTGACCTGAACTCCGTGGAAAAGTCTCTGGCTGACCTCTTCAGGAGATATGAGAAGATGAAGGAGGTCCTGGAAGGCTTCCGCAAGGTGTGTCTGCAGAGTCTGGGTTGGGGTGGAAAAGCAACAGCAGGGTTTTTGTTTTTGTTTTTTGCTGGGGTGGGAGAGTATGTGGGTGAGAATTCAGGAAGCCCATCCTGAGCCATTGCGAACAGGAGCTCTATTGAGGTGAAGGAGTCAGATTTGGCTGTTTGGGATATTCTGGTGCGCCCCTCAGTATCTCTTCTTGTGGCCCTGCTGTACCAGAATGAAGAGGTGCTGAAGAAATGTGCGCAAGAGTACCTATCCCGAGTGAAGAAAGAGGAACAGAGGTACCAGGCCCTGAAGGTGCACGCGGAAGAGAAACTGGACAGGTAACTCGCCCCTCACTCAGGCTCCAGCGGCACTTGAACATTGGCTTGCGAAGGGTAGCTAATCTTTATGTCTTGGGTTAAGATCTCACTCAGCCACCACCCACTGAGATAAGTGAAGGATTATGTTGTGATGTTGGGGGCACCCTTACACACATCGCGACAGGGGAGGGGTTCTTAGAGTTCTTACGTTTGGGCTCTCGTTAGTGTGGCTGGATTCAGACCTACAGGAGGAGGGAGGGAGGTATCCACGAGGCCACCTACCATGGTCCTTGTTCCAACAGGGCCAATGCAGAGATTGCCCAGGTTCGAGGCAAGGCCCAGCAGGAACAAGCAGCCTACCAGGCTAGCCTACGGAAGGAGCAGCTTCGAGTGGATGCTCTAGAAAGAACACTGGAGCAGAAGGTGAGAGGGTGAGGGTCGGGAACCCAGAGTTGGGAGGCCACTCTCCGGCTCTCGCCAGTCCGTCTGGTAATGCAGGCCGCGAGACTGGGAGCAGGCTCCGAAGCAGAGCCAGAGCAGCTTCCATATAAACTCATGCCTCGTGACCATACCCGTGTTAGGTCCGGGTTTTTTCCTTTCTGCCTGTCCTGGAATGGCAGTCCGTATGGGTTGTTTGTTTGTTTGTTTTTGTTTTTGTTTTCCATTTCTCATTCTTCCACAACGTCATTTGTCAAGTATTTGTCAAACACTGTTGGCATGATGGACATTGCCCTGGAACCTTTTCAACTATCATTCTTACCAGGGAATAGGTGAGGAACCCACTATCCTCCTGACGGAGGGTGGGCAGTGGCAGGGCTGGGCACATTCAGATGTCCTCCAGGTGTGTGATCAGTGGCTGAACCTCCTCAGGCCACTCAGCCTGTGCCTAGCTTTCCTGATTTCCTGTGTGGTACATAGTCTACTGTATGCACTGTTTCCCCGGATGTACCAGTGAAGACCTCTGCCATCCCAGAAACGTTCCACTTCCATGTGGTCCAAAGCGGGCAGGGTGTCTAGGCTGAGTTTCAGTGACCTTTGCTCTGGTAGGTACTGGCTGTCTCCTGCTAGGTGCTATCAGAGAAAGCCTGGCAATGAAGCAGGTCAGCTGCTCACACACTCCACCAATCGTATGGCCCTGGCGAACCTCGCTCTCTGTCTCGCTTCCTTGTCCTCTTTAGCCCTGAAAATACTTCGGATGAGAGAATTTCCCTGATATCAAGTGTGATACTAACCCCACCCCACTTAAAAAAAAAAAAGGAAAAAAAAACTTATAAAATCATATTTAGCCCTAGCTCTGAGGATGCAGAAGAGTGACTGCTGGTCAGTCAACCACAAGAAGTATGTTTAGAAAGAAAAGGCTAGACCAGTGTCCTATGCCAGCTACTGCAGCTGCCTGTGATTCCTGGGCTCTGCTGACTCTTCAGAGCAGGCACCGTCGTAGACAGGACTCAGCTGCAAACCCAAGCATGTGTTCACTCATTGATGATCACCGCGCATCATTATGTGGTTACTGTTGAGTCTGTGTATATTTTTATAGAAATGGAATGTTCCATTAAAATAAAGACCGCATTCCCTAGTCAGTCTGTGTGTCTGGGAAGTTGTCAGTGTATAGAATCCTAGGGGATGTGTTTAAATCACCACACTGGGTTAGTTCCTGAAGCAGGAGCCAGGACGGATGTTTCCAAGGCGGTTGGCCTGATCAGAACTGCAAAGGAAGGTGATGCTGTGTTTTCTGGTAGATTGAAATACACAGGTGCAAACACGTGGGGCCACATGGTTTTGGATAATAGCAAAGGTAAAATGGATCTGCAAACATAATTTCATTTTGAACTAAGCTTCCGGAGGAAGGAATTAATCACGATGTTCGCCCCTGGAGGACAGTAGATCCATGTAACAAACAAGGCTTGTCTTACAGAGACTCAGAAGCGCATTCACCAGGGCAGGTCAGTGTGAAGGTGCCGGGCTCCTCAATGGGGCAGTTTACCGATTGGTGGCTGATGGTGCTGGGTTTCAACTCATCCTCTAGATGTGGATCTCCAGTGCTTCCACCGTGAGCCGCTGCACATTAAGTTTTTAATAGACGTGAGAAGGAAGCTGTGTGGTTGCAAGCACAACTTGAATTTGTGTTCCAGGCTGGCCACATCTGTTCCTGTTGGACTGGCTGGGTAATCTTACGCACAGCGCTTAACCTCTCTGAGCCTCAGGTTCCTCACTGAAAAATGGCGTAACACTGGCTTCCTTTAAAGGGCCAGTGTGAGAACTGAGCTTAGTGATTGGCATGTGGTATTCACAGGATGAAGACAGGCATTCATGTCCATCAGAGGGGAGTGGTGGTCAGGGCTTTCAGCACCTGTGTGGACTGAGGTCTAAGATTTACGTTTGGGCAGGAGGTGAGCCATGGCCAGGCTGCTGGGAGATAGTGCTTTCCCCCCATGACAGCTCAGGTTTCTCTCCTGTGTGGGCACTGTGGTGTGGAGTGCTGGAGTTCTAACCCAGGATCGGCTGTGGACTGAGCTGGGACATGTTGCAGGAGGTCCTAGGAAAGGGGCTGGTGGAGGCCAGCCCTCTTCAGCATCTCAAAGGAAAACTAGCTGAAAATGTACATGAGATGCAGGTCTTCCATCCTCTTGGAGGGCCACTGGGCACTTATGCGTGAACAAACACAACCTTGGGCTGCTGGCTGGATTCCAGCTGGATCCCTTTCCTATAGGACAGGAACTGCTGCCCATTTATCTGTATGCACGTATGTAGCTGCCTTTGGGCTTCAAAGATGGGCAAAGGACGGCTTCTGCATGAGACTTTCGCCTCCAGGACGTCTGTATTCACCGCACTGTGGGAGCCCACAGAGGTTTCCTAGTGAGAGCTGAACTTGCTTTACACAGCAGGGCTGCATTAGGGGATGCCTTGACCATGTGCATGGTTATCAGGTGCCTGGGATGGTCTGCACTTGGCTGCACTGGGGGAGTTTTTTTGCTCCACCCCTTGGCATTTCTATAAATAGTCCTTTAGAAGAGACAGAGGGACTGGTGGGTTTTGACCCAGGCCCTCCCAAGGCTATCCTGTATTTCTATCTGTCTCTCTCCTCTATATTTCTATCTAAATATTTCTCACTTCTCCCTCCTCAAGAGTACCCTGGGAGAAAAAGTGGGGGCTGGTCCCCCACACCACGCCACATACTGAGTATGTTCTAAATAATGCTAGCATTTCCCTGAACTCCTGGACCTTTGTCAGGAAAGCCATGAACTAGCTTAGGCCAGCTCTTCTTCACCCCGGACCTCAGACTTCGGGGACAAGAACTGTACTAGGTAACCCTCCGCTGTGGTCTGCTCACTGTGCCTTTACATTTACACGACCCCACGTTTCTGACCTCATGTCATTCTTACTACATTTTAAAGAGGAGGAAGCCGAGGTTCACAGTGCTGTGCAACTTGCCCAAGCTCACCCAGCCAGAGGATGTAAACTTGGCTTGCTTCCAGTTATTTCCTCCAATGACTTCAGGGAACCTTAGGGGAGACCAGAAGACTGGGGTAGATTCTGATTGACTAGCAATAGCAGTAATAGCTGTTGTTGAGACAGGATCTCACTGTGTCCTTGGTGACCCGGTACTCACAATGTAGATCAAGCTGACCTCAAACTCAGAGATCCTCTTGCCTCTCTGCTCGGCAAGGGCTGGAATTAAAGGCTTGCGCCACCACACCTGGCTTTCTTTGTTTTCTTTTTGGTGTGTGTATGTCCATTTTTGTTGCTTGTGCATATATTATTTCAGACTACCTCTCTTGTCCTCCATTTTCAGAATAAAGAGATAGAAGAACTCACCAAGATTTGTGACGAACTGATTGCCAAAATGGGGAAAAGCTAGCTTGGAACCAAGTGCTTGGACTTGGCCGTTGCGTGCAATACGACCGTCGGCACACTGTTGTCCTCCCGAGCCCGTGGACCGGTTGCTTCTCACTTTATATGCACTACTGTGTTCCCTTTCTAAATGAGGTTGGTTTGACCGTATGCAGTGCCGAGAACTACCAGGATTCCTTGCTATCCTTTTGCATTTTCTAGTATAACTCATAGCAAGTTGACCTCAGAGTTCCTGTATCAGGGAGACTGCCAGATTCTCTAATAAAAAGACAAATTGCTGACTTTGGCCTTGCCCTCTGGTGAGCAGCATCTGATGCGACATGAACGTATGCAGCCTGCATAGGGACTCTTGCCTTAAAGAGTGTACAATTGATCCACATTTGCTGGTTTGTTTGGTTTTTTTTTAAATGCATGTTTCAAATAAAATTCTCTATTGTAAATAAATTTTTTTCTTTGAGTCTTGGCAGCGAGCGTGACTGTGAATTATTTTCTGGGAATGGCTGAGTCCTTTCTTGATCAGAATTTCTTTAGAGTTTATTAAAATGCAAAATCTCATGCACAAATATTAAAGAACAAAAGGAAAACCTGAACCGGACCACAAGCCACTGGTCACACCTTCAAGGGCTCCCTTCCTTGCTCGAAAGGGCCCCAAGCATTCCTCTCCACCTTTGCCCTCAGTCACCAACATCCCCAGTGAAATCCCCGCCTTGGACCAAAACGCTCCTCTCAACTGGCTAGTGAACCGGTGACAGAATTCCTGTCACACTTTCTTGCCTCCATTAAGCCATGTCAGACTTGGTTTCTGCCTCTTTCTGGGCCCCTTTTCTTTGTCCATCGATCCAAATAGGATTTCCTTCATTATAGCGTCTGGGTTTGTAAGAGGAAGCAAATGAGAAATATTGACTCGGCTTAAATAATTAAGTGGATCTATTGGATTAGCTTAGATTTCATTTCTACAAAGCCTCGGCCATTAGGCAAAAATCTATTTCCTTTTATTATTGTACGAAGGAAGTAGCAAGTTGTCAGGCTTTCTTTCCCACCCCTTGGTACCTGACCAACCCGGATACACGGCCTACTCCTCTGTAAGTGGTGAGGAAGGGCCAGAGATATCGGGTGGGAGGCACGTAATTAGCCACTAAGCAACCTGACTGCTGCCAGATTCCTTGATGCCACAACCTGTGTGTGACCTGTGACCTGCGAGGAGACCTCAGATGAGACAAAGGATGAGCTAAGAAGGTAAGGAAGAGCTGGAAGGTAGTTGGTTTTCTGGGCTGCTGTCACAAATGCCCACAAACAGCAGCCGGGAACTGCAGAAGTTCAAAGTCAAAATGAGGTTGGGGCAGGCAAGGACAATCCATTCTGTCCCTCTCCCTGTAGCTAAAGTTTTCCTGCCTGGCCCACAGCCATTCAGACCCGACCAAGTAAACACAGAGACTTATATTGGTTACAAACTGTATGACTGTGGCAGGCTTCTTGCTAACTGTTCTTACAGCTTAAATTAATCCATTTCTATAAATCCATACCCTGCCACATGGCTCGTGGCTTACCGGCATCTTCACATGCTGTTTCTCATCATGGCAGCTGACAGTGTCTCTCTGACTCAGCCTTCCACTTCCCAGCTTTATTCTCCTCCTTGTCCTGCCTATACTTCCTGCCTAGCCAATGGCCAATCAGTGTTTTATTTATTGATCAATCAGAGCAACACATTTGCCATACAGCACATCCCACAGCATCTCCCAGCTTGCTGTATCCCACCCAGCAACACTCCAACCTCTCAGTTCACACCACCTTCTCAACCTTTTGTGTTTCTATGTCTCAAACAGCCCTTTACAGTAAATGCTCTCACTACTGCCTGAGCTATACCTCCAGACCTCTTTTTTTTTCTTATTTTGAGACAAGGGATGCTCAAACTGGCATTGGACTCATTCTGTAGTCCAGACAGCCCTTGAATTTACAATCCTCCTGCCTCAGCCTCAACTGGGTTTACAGGTATGTGCCACCATATCTAGTCCTTTATAAGAATACCATTATTGGACTTGGAGCCTATTGAAAATTCAGGGTGATCTCATCTTGAGATCCACAATTCTGTCCGCAAAGGCCATTTCCAGGTACAGTCGTATTCACAGGGGCAGGGATTAGGGAATATGCAAGTATTTAATTTTTGTTACATTACGTATTGGTGTGTGAGTGAGGTCAGAGGACAGCTTTGGGGACTTGCTATGGAACACATGTGGAGAAATAGAACAGTTCTCACCTTCCACCATGGGGGTCCTGGGGAGCAGATCCAGGTAGGTCATCTGGCTTGGCGGTAAGAGCCGTTACCCACTGGGCCATGTGGACCGGCAGATTGTGTGGTGTGGCTGAGTGTGAAAAGCAGACCCAGGCTCCTATGTTTCAGCTTAACGGTCCCCCTTTTTACTCCCAGGCACAGTAACTATGAGTCATGCATTGTAGAGGTACCCTGCTCCTATCAGGGCAGGTTTTAGGCTGCTTTGTCTGGGAGAGAAGATGGGGTGGAAGTCTCTGCTGTGACTTCCAAACAGATGAATCTTCGCCATCCAGGCAGCACAAGGACAGAGGGAGATAGACCCACTGTGGTTGGGCCGTCAGCCCAATGGTGATGGACTAGGGAAATAGACCCACTCTGGTTGGGCTGTCAGCCCGGTGGTGATGGACTATGTCTTTGGGTCCGTTTCCTCTGTATGTGGGCTCTAATGGCAAAGCTCTGGTCCCACTGAACGGGGACAGGGAACTGCCTCCGTCACCCTGCCCATTACCCACTGCCTGGTCCTGCCAGTGAGGACCCAGAGTCCTCACTCTCGCTGGCCATATCCATCCCTTCCCTTCCGGGATCCTCACCTCTACTGCTTCCTCTCTTATTTTCACCATTTAAGAAAAACATTTTCATTTCTAAAAGGATGACCAGTACAGGTAAGGAAAACATCCTAATCCCCAAACCAAGAAACTACAGGTGTTGTGGTCTTTGTCTTTCTTGGCATATGAAATACTTAACCTAATTTTGTCACTGTGCTGCTTTTAAGACATTTATCTGTTTGCTTATCCACCCAGCCTCAGGGTTCCGTTCGGCTGACTTTTTCCCCATGTAATACTGTAATGTAACTGATGGTTATAATAAACGGCGCTGGTGGCGGCGCTGGTTACTGCATGGAAAGGTCACGGTCACGACAGAACCCAATGCTAGTTTTAGAGTTTTATTAGGAGGGAAACGGGGCGGGGGGGGGGGGGGAGGGCGGGGGGAGAGGGAAGCCAGGCCTGGGGGGAGGGAGCAGAGAGGGAACAGAGAGAGAACAGAGAGAGAGAGTGGGGGTCCACATCCAGCTTTTTAAGGCACGTACGTAGCCACCAGTGCCTCCTAATGATGAAAGACGCAAGACCCCAAGATGTGCATGTGCCGGAGTGAGGGCAAGATCCTAACAGTGACTATCATATAAACTCTTTCTTTTCTTAGTAAAATAATTAAAATATATACATAAAATGCCAAGCTGTCTAGAACAGTGGTTCTCAACCTTCCTAATGCTGTGACCCTTTAATACAGTTTTTCAAGTTGTGGTGACCCCAAACATTAAATTATTTTCATTGCTACTTCATAACTAATTTTGTTTTTGTTATGAATCATAATGTAAATATCTGTGTTTTCCAGTAGTCTTAAGCAATCCCCATGAAAGGATCATCTAACCCCCAAAGGGGTTGTGACTCACAGGTTGAGAACCACTGGTTTAGAATGTCATCAAAAGAGTTGCCACTTTTAGTTTGGATGATTACAAGGTGTTGTTCAAGTCCCAGAATGATTATTCCATAGAAGCTTCGTCAGAGATTACTGATGGTGACGCTGCTGTGCATGGACAGGAGCCTGCTGGAAACTTCATGAGGTTTATGTGCTGATATTTTGTTTGTGATCTAACACATAAAGCTTGCCTGAAGATCAGAGTGCAGAGCTAAGCCATTTGTTAGCCATAGAGGCCGGGCAGTGGTGGCACACACCTTTAATCCCAGCACTTGGGAGGCAGAGGCAGACGGATCTCTGTGAGTTCAAGGCCACCTTGGAGATCAATTAGGATTCGCACAACAGGTTTATGCCCCTACACTGGACATCGAAGTTAGCGGCTGTTGACTGGACTATCAGGACCGAGTATGGAAAGACACATTCATTGGTGTGTTTTGAATGAGAAATGTCCCCCATTGGTTCAGGCATTTGAATACTTGGTCCCCAGTTGGTGGTGGTGCTCGGAGAGGTTATGGGAAGATGCAGCCCTCCTGAAGGAAGTTCATCCCTGGGGGTGAGCTGTGAGTAAACCTTACCCCGCTTCAGTTTCACTCTGTGCTTTGTGCTTGTGGTTAAAGATGTGACCTCTCAGCTTCCTGCTCCTGCCGCTCGGCCTGCTGCTTGCAGCCATGTCCCCACCATGATGGACTCTTATCCCTCTGGAATAGTAAGCTGGAATAAACTCTCTTAAATTGCCTTTGGTCGTGGGGTTTGACCACAGCAACCGAAAAGCTACGAATACGTGTGTTCCTGACAGCCTTACATTTTTTTTTTTCTCCAAAAGGGATGCATTACATACAAGGAGAGTCCGTATTTTACAGATAATAAAAACATGTCGCCAGAATCAACATCCTCTTCTGCCTGTTCATCTTCCTTGTTCTGTCCTTGACTCCGCTGGGCACGTCGCAGTCACACCAGGTTTCTCTGTAGCTTGTGGGCAGCATATCTGTCTTGGGTTTCCTTTAACTCAGCACCCTTCTTTTCCTAGGGTAGCTTGTCACCGAGGTAGGGTTGGTCCTGATCTCTCCCACGGCCCTTGGAATATCATCAACTAACAGACCATGATATCCTTTGCTTTGGAATGATACCTGGAGCAGGAAAAGGAAAAGGGGGGGCGGGGTTAATCTTGAACTTGCCTTTTGTTTTCCCTGTAGATGGGATCTGTGTGTTCATTTTTCCAGAAGGGCTTTATTTGCTTTGCCACACATCTTATTACTGATACAGGGTCTGGCTAGCTTTCCACTTGCCATGTAGCTTAACATGACCTTGAACTCCTTGACCTTAACCTCCTGAGTGTTGGAACCATAGGTATGTGCCATCATGCCTGTGCCTAGCTTCTTAAGTGTTTCTATTTTATTTCCTTTTCTTTTTCGTAGACCTGCTCTACTTTTGAGCCCTGCTTTGAAACTCTGGAAGCTGATGGGGGACACTCCAGACAATCTTTCACAGAACGTCTATGGTAGTGTGGTGGTTTGAATGAAAATGCCCCCCCATAGGCCCATAGGGAGTGGCATTATTAGGAGGCATGGCTTTGTTGGAGTAGGTATGGTCTTGTTGGAGGAAGTGTGTCACTGAGGGTGGGCTTAGAGGTCTCAAAAGCTCACACCAGGCCCAGTGTGGCACTCTCTTCCTGCTGCCTGCTGGTCTGGATGTAGAGCTCTCAGCTACCTCTCCAGGACCAT